AAGAGAACGCAAATAGACTTTTTTAGCTTTTAATTATTAGAGAAATGAAGAAAATTGCAGGGCTTGTGCTTGGATGGCAAACCACCAGAACACATTATAATAAGATTGCCACATTAACTTGCATTCTTAGTCACTCCTCAGAATGAAAAGTAAATGGTCAACCTTCATACTTCACAGAATGCCTTTTTGTATGTTCTCTGCATCAAAACATGCTGTATTACAAGTGAAATTTGATACAATGAAATGGTGCCAAACTAAAATAAAGGTTGCTTAACAAAAGCAAACCCTCACCTTGGTTCAATTTTAGACTTAGCGAATCCTTTCCATGGAGCTTCCCTCTTCACAAAGACTTAAGAGAGCCCAAGGAAAAGTGTGTGTAGCTGTTGTTAAGACTCAGACTGAGAGTTAAAAAAAAATGGCTGCTTGTTTTAGAACATTAGAAAAAACTATAACAGCTGGAAAAATTACAAAAGGCTGAGGAGAAAAACCAGATTCACACGTTTGATAATGACATGAGTCCATAGGTGTTGTCTAAGGGGTAAATACGTAAAAATCATTCAAAATAAGGAAACTTGAATCACAATAGTATCCTTGCAGTTTCAGATAAAAACTTCATACGAAACTTGATTAACAAAATGGGATATCTACTGGATATCTGGTAATACAATTCTAGGGAGAACCAATTTTGAAGACATGAAAACTGCTGGGCAACAGAATTTCTCTTTGGACATCTGAGAGATGAGGTTACCTAGCCAAATCTCAAGTTATACTTCTCTACGTACTTCTATTTACATTCCTGATTCTGATCCGTTAAAACTGTACCTGTCATAATGTGAAGCTACATATACTGGGAAGAAAAAAACCTGCACTTTCAGCCTGGGAAAGGCGGAAAAGTATGTATGATGTTTAAAAATCTGAGACAAAACCAGGCTTGCTTCTAGAGACCAAAGAGGCCAAACGCAGGACTTCGTCCCACTTCTGGAGTCTCGCTACTTATACCTCTATCGATCAATCAATAACCAAATGATGTTTGAACAAAGATCTTCTTAACCTCTGTCAAATTCACTGAATGAATACTTCAAGCATGAATTGGTTTGATATATTATAATGGGCATTTGGGCAACTTGCAGTAGATAAGTTGTTTCAAAAAGTAGGTGATGAAATTTGTCTTAAAAGTAGCTAATTTAAAATAGGTGCCTTTACTTAAAAAATATATTCTCTGGTTTTCAAGTCACCAATGGAGCCAAAGACGTCCGATTCAGGGTCACCAATATTCTCTGAGTTTCTCAAAAGAGTTGACAGAATGCTTATTTTACTGCTTTGGTCAAAGTGAAATTTGAGAAAAAATACCTAAAGCCTCTTTAAAATGCTGCTGCTATAAATAACATTAAGATTCAGTGTGAGTGTTAAATCTAAGTGACATTAAGTAAAATTCAAAATCTAAGACTCTGAAACAAAGGAGCGTAAAATTTCTACAGAAGAGAATGATTGCAGTTACCTTTCTGATGGGAAAACATGCAAGTAATCTTTCATATGGAGGCTTAAAATAAGTAGAATGAAGTAGAGAACAAGCTGACTTGGCTGAAATTGGTTGACTGAAGTTATTGATGAAGTAGATTTAGTTCCTGAACTAAATTAACACTTTAAACGTCCTAAATCATTAGTACGCAGACAATTTAAGAGACAAGAAGTTGAATTCCATATGAAAAAGCAAATGAATTGTGCAAAGAGAAAAATTTGTAGGAATTGACCTGCCATTTCTGCCACTTACATTCCCTTTAAAGAAGACCAATGAACATTATTTGCTCAAACGTCCAGTAAAATTTTTTCTCACCTTCCATCTTTTTACTCTTTTCAATTCAGTGGTAATCACAAAAAAAAATAATACAGTCTGTTGGTAAAAATGCAAAAATGTTTTTTAAATTCCACTATAAAGATAACACGGTCCTTAACGTTCAGAGCTGGCACCATTCCTACATTTATTTAGTCCATTGTTTTTACCTTCTATCTATGACTCCTGGCCTCATGTTTTTAATCATAATTGATGATTTGTACAAGGACAAAATCAGTGATTTATATGGCAAACAAAGCGCACTGGTAACCAGTCTATATACATTAAACAATTTCATTAATATTTAAAAATGTAGCAAAATGAAAGCAAAGGCGTCAACCAATACCAGCCAAACATCATTTGTGAATGCCAATAGAAAAGAAGGGAAACTTTACTTGCTTGCTTAAAACTAATCTGTAGACTTGGGTGACTACACATTATACAAGAAGATAACATTTACAAAGCTGTACATAAATATGTTTACAGGTATAGTACATTCACACACATTCATATGTTTACCATTCCAACTTGTGAGAGGATGAAACATCAGCAAAGGAGAGGGTGCTTATCACGTTCTTGGAAGTAAGTACATAGAAGTATCACTGCTTTTCTGCACAAAATTAACGAAACTGCACTTTCAAGATTCATGAGAAACATTGATCAAAGTTTATAATTTGCTTAGTATGAAAGTTTGTTGGCCCTCCAGGACAAAGCAAGTTTTAAAAAAATATACCTTGTGCCGTTTCTAATCAAAAAAGAAAGGTGATATTTGAGCGCACCAATCCATACTGGTGGATGAAGATGAGGAAAAGTGTTGACAACATCGAGTGATATTGCTCTAAACAATGAGAGCACAATGCCGCATTTTGGTAAAAAAAACATGGACTCATTCAACAGGACAATAGAATTTATGACGCAAATCTCCGCTCGTAATTTATTTTTTTAAAAGAAAATGAACAGTTTCTACTGAAATTTTCTTCGAATTCTCTTCACTCCCTCAAAAATATTTGCATAAAATTTCAATAAGATATATCGGATAGTTTTCTGTTAAAAACAAATAAAAAGTTGAGCAGAAATTTTAAGGCATTGTACTTGTAACACCCATTATTTTACCTTTGTCATTGATAGGATACTAATAGCATGTAGCTCTGATGACAGCTTTGCTATGTTTCAATGTACTTATGACACCCATTGTTTTACTTTTGTCATTCATAGGATACTGATAGCGTGTGGCTCAGATGACAGCTTTGCTATGTTTCAATATACAAGTACAAAGAGGAGTCTTGGAAATTTTATCTAAAGTATTCAACACTTGAACTCTTGAAATCTTAAACAAAGTGCCGGGGCATTCGTTAATAAAGCTTACCTTGCCATGAAACTCTATTGAGCTAGCATAACTATAAATTAGAAACTTTAATCAGTGTTAAATCATGATACTGGACACAGTCACCATCGAAGTATTTTTTGGGCACGAAAAGAACTGATGATAGGAATTCAAAGTATGAAAGAAAATAAACCACATAATGCAGTGCTTCTCGGATGATTCATTGAAAATGTCTGACTCCTTCGATTCCTTTGATTCACACCGACTCGCGATCTGGTTTTAAATGATTTGATTGACGATCATTTCAGGAAAGAAATTTCGTTGCTGACCAACCTCCAACTTTCTCCTCCTGGAGTCTTTAACACAGATCTACTGATGTTTCTTTGAAATTTAAGCTGCTGACTTTGACCTTCTTCTGAACAGACAGCTTATCAAGTCTTGAAAAAAACCTTGATGACTTGATCCTGTACGTTGATGGGGTTCACTTCAGAGTTTCACTTTTATACAAATTTACACAGTAATGCAAATAATTTTTTTGGTTATATTGTACACTTTAAGATTAAAGAAAAAACACAAACACACATTTACATGACTCACTTGATTGTTCATTGAAAAAGTTAAGACTTTCGTTACCAACAACAACACTTCACCATTTTGTCGCTTCTAAATAGTTCCGCACTTAGAATACTGATGATGTTTCTCGTCTCTTGACTTTGAGATAGCACTCGGGGATTGTTTTTCTTATCCATTCTTCGCTATTCTTCCGTCCAGAGGCTTCATGGTTATTGATAACTTCGTTCAATTTAATAACTGACTTCCTGAGTAATACTACTATTTATATTTGAAATATTAGAAGAGTAAAATTTTTTGTAACATCTACGACTACAAGAGAAACAACTTGATCATATGTTGCGCAAGTAAAAGTACTTTAAGATCATTGAGAAAATTAAACGATTAAGCAAACTTTATCTGCAAATGTTATTTGAAAACTGTGCAAAATAAATCGAAAGATGCCATAGAGCAAAAAAAGGAAACGCTTAAACAACAAAAAAATGAAATTTGATTTGATGTTGATTTGTAAATATGGCATGAAAGGATTAAATAATTTGTTGAAGCAATTATGCAAAAAGTATGCACTCCAAATATTAGCAATTTCAATCTGGTAGAGATTCTTAGATTTTTTAATGAAGTTAAGATTGATTCAGAAGTATGTATGTAGCAAAAAAAAGAGACAAATTTCAGTGCCTAGGAAGCCTTGGTTTTCGAGGATAAGTCTTGCATCTTGATTTACTCCAGTTTCTTCGGCAGCAGCTGATTCTTCAAAATTGTTTGCTCCCAAAATTGGATGAAAATTTTTGTGGATCAAAGCTCATAGTGATTCGATTTTTAAAGGAAAATTATTGGAAACTGAATTTCAATACTAATTACGGAAAGAATCCAATCAAGACTGGAATTAAAAATGAGTGGATTTATCAATCATATTCAAATTAAAAGACTCTGGAAAAAGAGAGAAAACTGAAAACTTTAGGAAAATTTTTTAAAAATTTCATAATCTGATTGCAAAGAGCTGAATTGAAAATAGCAGATTAAAGTTTCAATGAAAAAGAGTTAAAATGAAAATTTGCATTACAATCTGCGAGAAAATAAACAAAATTATTGGAGGTATCCAAATTTATTAAATATTTGAAACTATATATACGCATTAAGGCATATATATATTAACATTGAACAACAAGAATAAATAAATATATAACTCAATAAATATTTAAGTTTAAAAAAGAAATCTAATATCCAGCATTATTTTAAATATTTTTCAACTAGATCCAACAGTGCACCATGAATAAAAAAAAGAAAAAAAAAAATATTATAAAAGGAAGATAGTCATATTTAAAAGAACTGTTTTCAAGGTATGATTTTATCATCAAAGTGAAGGACAGAAAATTAAAAGATAAAAAAAAAAAGAAACAACAAACAAAACAACTAAAAAAATCAAGAATTTGAAAAAACGAAATTCATTTCGTTCTAAGATAAATTGTTGCCATCAATGAGTTGCGAATTCATCATGGTATCAGTTAATCCGTTTCCAAAAAACTGCGATTCTTCGAGAGCGTTTTCATCACCGTTCCCCATTATGACTACATTCTCATTGTGGTTGTCATTGAGCAATTTGTTTCTCTTCTCTACGCTCACACAATTCTTCATTGAGTTTTGTTTGGCATCACAGCTACTCGAAGACCTCCTCTTGCGTAGGACACGATCCGAAATGCTGCTTTCGTTTGACTTTGATTTGGGCATGAAAGGAACATCTATTGAAGAATTCTTTGGTGCAGAACAAAAGTCTTCACTTTTCTCACGACTATCAACTAAATGGAAATTATCGTTTTCGCTATTCTCACTGAACACGGTTTCTTTGCTTAAATATTTAACATTGTCTTCTTTGCTACCCACACCGTTTTCATCACCGAAGGCTGAATTATCGTTCTCCTCGTGAAACTCAATGCTGGCTGAATGGTAACCTGAGCTTTCAGTCACATCGTTTTCATTCAACTGGTCTGTAGTGTTGAGGACTTGGTTGATCATACCCAGACTTTTGACATCATTTTCTTCATTCATGATCAACTCGTCTTCTATTTCTGGTGTAGAGTTGAGTAGAATATTTGAGAGCATTTTATTTTCCCTCATTCTGTCTGAAAATTGATCATCGACCATTTGATACTTGACACCAGCGTCCTCTAGCGAGGTATCCTTATTTGAATAGAGAACCATATTCGAGTATGATTGATTTGAATTCGAATCATCCAACATTTCTTTATCAACGCTGCTGCTGTCCAAAACATACTGAAACTGCTCATCCTCACCTTCTCCTAAACACTGTTTCAATGCGATACTTTTTGAGTCTTTCTGTAACGAGCCAAAACCTTCCATCTCAATAATACGGTTGCTCATCAATGGCTCTGCTGTATCTTCGACATACATTAACGGAGCGCCATTTTTATTCTTCAACAAGACAACATTTCGAGCTCCATTCATCATATGAACCTGATTGAAATTAGGGTCCATGCCATGGAGATGTGACTCGTCTCGCATTTGTGATTCTTCACTCACAAAAATATACTCATCGCTATTAGTATTGATGAGTTGAGATTCGTTGGTAATACTTGAGATCTCCATTTCACTGTTTTGCATCAGTTCTATGTTTTCAATGTTTGATTGTCTTGGTTTTTGATGCCTCTCCTCCTTTGTTTCATCGTTGCACATCATGGCAAGTGCCTCATATGCATGGCTAGTGCTAAGTTTTGAACGGTTTACCTTATCAACAAAAGCATTATTCACCATTAAAGGATCTGAGTCTTTGGTGGATAAGTTTTCTTTGTAGACTTTGACAGGTAAACGTTCGCAGATTGCTTTAGCAACACTTGTTAAACCACTTCCAGTTTCAATGAACTCAGTGATGTACGATTTTTTCGGGGCTTCACTATCATTTAAAGTTAAATTAATTTCAGCTATTTTTGTACTATTTTTCTTAGAACTATTGGAGATCGGTGCAGTGCTATCAAAACCAGCTTTTTGCCATTTCTTTTCTTCGTTGAGGGCTTTGAGAGCATTTATCTCTTTAGAAGAGACAACATACCTGACTACTTGGTTCCCTTTAACTTCTACTAGGACTACTGCATCAGGATCATCTGATGCAGAAGATTTCAAAGTTTCAGTCACTGTTTCCGTGATATCTGACTTTTCGTTGCTAATTGTTGATTTGCCTCCCAATGTGGTGAACAGGTCTGGAGGCTCTGGCTTCGAATACTGTTTAAAGTGACCTGAGAGAAGTTTTTTCGACGAATTCGGTTCCGCAACTAACTCACGACCTTCTTCTGTTACTATTGATCCATCTTGCATCACAACACCTTCCGTTATGCTGACAGAATCATCCAACGTTTCTTCGGTAACTTGGAATTGTAGAGATTCACTTGAACTTAGAACGTCCATAAAGACATCTTCCGTTAAAGTCACGTAGTTCCCATCTCCTGTGTCAACAATAATTGGCACATCAGTTGGTAGCCCTGCTGCTTTCAGGGCTTCTAAGTATTCAGTGGACCCGCTAACAGATGGAGACTTGATGTCCACAACTCCACTTTTCAGGGCATTTTTCTTACCTTGAATGGAGTCTTCTTTTGAAAGTAATGAAGCAAGCAACGGGGACTTTTCCATGTTTGCTGTTATAGAATTTAGTTTAGGGTCACTTGAATTGGACAACAGCTTGCTATACTTAGTATCTCGGTGTAACATTTTGAAATTGTCAATAATAGAATTGCTGCTTTCAAAACTTTTTAGAGAACTTACGGACTGATTTGAACCATCCAACAATTCCCTACTTGACGAGCTAACGGATGCAATTTGTTGTTTTTTCCTGCCGCGCTTGCGAGGTTCGAAAGTGTTAACTAATTTCGACCGCGTTTCTATTTGTGAATCAGCTGAACCAAAACTACAATTACTTATCACGATCGGTTTATTGGGCGGTCTTCCGGGACCCTGTGTCAGGAGGCGATTATTGCTCCCCCGCCCACGAGAGCCTCTTTGTACTACTTTGTTGTTTCCAGAAAGAGAAAGCAAAATCTGAGCTGACTCATCTTGTGGTAGTCCAGAGCTATCATTCATTTCAACTGCTACACTGTCAATTTTAGGAGGTGCTATGCTTTTTCTTGGCCTCACGATGGATGTCTTCTTGCTTGATTTTATGAAGTTGGCCCCTGGAAAATGGGAAAAAAACATCAATTCAATTTATTCACACATCCAAATCAGCGTAACATAAGGTAGAGTTGCTTGAACGAATTACTGATTTTCAAATGAAGGACTGGAAAATTGCGCAACATTCTTAGTCTCCCTCGTAATGATAAGAAAGAATTCTTTTGCTTTTGATGCTGTTTTATAACAACGACTGAAATTAGCTTGTAAAATTTTTTGAAAAGATATTCGTTTACAACAAACGAAAATATTAAAACTTTTCTGCAACAAGTCTATTTACAGGTAGTAGCACTTCAAATTTTCTGGTATGCAGAATGTAGCCAAGTGCTAGAAATAATGTAACATTTTTAGTAAAACTTACATTTCATTGATAAAATTTGACCAAAGCTTCCCGAAGTAGGTGCTTCATCGTTTCAGACAGTTCTACTGTCTGAAATTAAGTTATAGCCTTTGTAATTAATTCTTTGTGATCCTGACGATGAAGCATTTGCTTCAAAAAGCTTCGGTCACATTTTATCAATAAAATGTAAGTTTTACGCAAAATGTTACATTATTTCTGGCACTTGGCTACATTCCACATACCGTATTATATTTGGGTGAGTTCCCATAATTATGTGCTGTTTCTAAACTAAAAATTTTGAAAATAATTAAAGATAGATTTTTCAAGGGAGTATACACTTTAGGGCGGGTTGAAACTGAGTTTTTTCTTGGTTTTGATCTTAATAGCAAACAAGCAGGGAAATCTAACACTGAGTGTTGGAAGAGCGCGCCTTAAGGATATTTGATTATTTCAAGACAAATTGTTGAAGTCGAGCAGGACAGCAGATGAGCATACAAATCAAAGACGATTTTCAAACACTTATAATTTGGAACAAAAGCTGAAATAAAACAGTTCTATTCACAGTAAAAATCTATTGAGGATGCCATAGGAGCCAAAAATCTTCGTTCTAACCGAAATTTTACTCATGGTGGCTGATGGGTTGCGAAACTAACCAGTGGTGGAGCATATGCACTATTCGAACGAATTATACAAAAAAAGTGAGCAGTCGTCCATTGCGAACGATGATAACCAGTCAGAAAGTTGAATTGAATATAAATCTGCAAAGTTTCATGCCTTGCAGGTGTAAACAAAAGGTACTTTTTCAAATTGCGATTTGCTCGAAGCAACTTTATAGATACATAAAAATTGAAGAACTTTATTGGCACAAGAAAGGATATAATGGGTTCTTTCAATGATGGCATTGATTAAAAAATAATTACCAGCAATCTAAATGCTCTCAAGACTTATTTATCACGATGCAAAAATTCAAATACGTTCCACCCTAAAAGGGACTTTAAAATAACAGAGCAAGCATTGAGACTACAATACAAAACAAAATATCTTCGTATAGATACAATATAAAAAGTATCTAGCAGCCAGTCTCTCAGCGATTGCAATAAAAGAGGCCATTTGCACGGCGCACTTGAAACCTAGCCTTAAATGGGCCTTACATGCGCATTCTACAGCTCAGTCCACCGTACCACCCCTAAAATAAATCCTGACCATTTTAGGGGATGCAAATTATAATGTGTACTTTTTTGAAAATTTTGACACCAATTTGTAAGGAATTTTATGCTTTGCAGTTCTTATAGCATAAATTTAAGCTGTTGTAATGAGCGAAGAAAGGAACAGGTTGAAAATTACCATTTTTGGAGCTCAAAAAAACACCTTGGATAAAATTTATAATATTTAAAATGCAGAGCACTCCATCTTCCATGAGATCAATGGATTGAGGACAAAAATTTTGTTGGTTTCTATTGCATTTTGAAGCGATTAGCCACAAATTATGAATTGAAATTGCAGAGAGGTTATGCTCCCAGCTGCAAAACTGCTGCAGCATTTATGTTTTAATACTGTTTGCAATGCACCTGAAGCGACACAGTGCACCTGTAACAGTGACACTGCTGTACTTCTGCTCGACTCTGTTATATGATTAGATTAGGGGCTAAATGCTTTAAGATAAGTTTAACACAATTCAATTTTTGCTCACAAACTCATAACTCGTCGATTTTAAGCGTAATAGTGTTATACTGTCAAAATTTGGACAAAATCAGAACCCTTTCCACAGATTGGCGAAAAGGGCTATTTCAAGAGCAATAATTCCAAACTGATTCTTGCGAGCATTAACAAGCCTATAGAATCTACAACCAAGTGACTTGAGCCCACGCAGCCAAATCATCTTTTTCTGTGCGATGGGCCACTAGAGAAGGTCTATAGTAGAAGAAAAGGTCACATATTTCTTCTTCAAAATTTTACATAGAAAACTGTTTACACGACAGGAAGTTTTGAAATCGATTTCACAAAGAAATAAATTATTCCTCTTGCACAGCTTGATTAAGTTCTTTTGACAAAAGTTGGCATGGACTTGGTAATTTGTAGCAAAAATGACTATGGGCCGAGTAATTAAGACACATCAGAGTATTTTTATTCATTTTCAAGACCAATCAGGATGCTTCCAGTATTTTGTAATATCATTAATCAAGGTGACGACTGAAATTAAAGATCGAAATTCCTTGACTAGTCAGCCTTAAAAGGATGGGCCTCAAGGCTGTTGCACAAAATACTTTCAACCTTTGGCGGGTTTGACGCAATTTGGAAAAACCCCTGACAATTAAAGATATGCCAATTGTTTAAAAAAAGATAGTTTGAAATAGTTTTCCGGCAAAATTTTTTGTTCGAAACGTCGAACCCATTCTAGAAAGCAAATAAGGTGAGTTAACAATTTACCCCTGCCACTTTCATCACTTTCCCTGACATTTCCAGGTTTTTCCTGACATTTCATGGTATTCCCTGACTGTGGCAATTCTATATAGTCCCTCAATGTTGCCAGAATGCGACTTGTAATATACAATATATACTGGTGAGAATATGAACTACAATTTTAGCATATTCACGACCGAGTGTAGGCGTACCACTGCGTTAGAGAGGAGCTGAGTTTCTGCCCACTTTAGTCTAAAAATTTGCCGATACCTATAATACACTATCCCAGGCTCTTGAACATAAAATTATCAGATGCTCTTTTTCCTACCATCTGAAAACATAGTCCCTGCCTACTGCAGGGGCTCTTAAATTTGAATGTAATGAAAACTTACCACTTGTGCTGAGCGTTGACGCAGTGGATGTGTGCGGAGTTTTACAGCAAGTGACATTCTTCCCTTCCTCAGAAACAGATGTTTGAGATACTTTAGATTGTGGTAGATCACTCAAGACTTCTGCAGTCATTGAAGAAAGTCCCTTCACCTGTAAAAGCGCGATAAGTATTACACACAAGTCATGCTTGGAACTTACATTTACACATAAGGAAAACTGTTAAAAAGCAAGAGAAAATGATCAAGATTGCTTGATGAAGAAACACTGTTGATGACTCTTGGATATTCAAAGCTACATGGAAACGAAGCGATCAATAAAAAGATGTTACTTACATCAAAGTTTTTCTTTGGTTACTTGAGATGTTAGGGATAGAATACAATGACTGTCCAAAAAGTGTTCGAGCTGGTTTTATAATTGGATGTATTTATGCTAAAGGGAACTATGTAGCATGCAAGCCCAAGGCACATGGTACCTTTTAGCATGAATATGTCCAATTACAAAAAAAAAGTTAACTAGAAGCTTGATCAAAATCTCATTTAAAATTAACTCAAAAGCTATCAATTGAGACCAAGGTCTTAGTATGAGATTGAGATCAAGTATCTGTCAAGCTTAGATCTTGAATTACAGAGCCAGCCCAGGTAGTTTTTAGACAGCCTATGTAATTAATGCATGTGGCATTTACAACCTCCTTAATAATTTCTTAGGCGTTGATAAAAGAAATATCCTAATCCTACCTTTATGAGAGGCATTATCATTTAATTTCAAAAAGATGAGCTAAAGATACAAAGGAACTTACAAAATTTCCAGCCAGAGCAATTTTCTGAAATTCAAAATTATTCAAGATCTCCGAAGTTTAAAAATAAAAATTGAAGAACTTTTTAAAGGAGTTGCGCTATACTTTGTTCCTAGCAAGCCGATCAACCCATTAAGTTGGAGCTAAAAAAATTGATTAGCGATGCCAATTAAGAGTTGAGCACTCTTCTCAACTAAAACTTTCTTGAGAAACATGGAAGCTGTTTACAGGACAGGGACAAATAGTGTTGCTATGAGAAAATTTAAAACATCAACAAGAGATTATCACGAAATTAATAAGAGGTCAAGTCTTATGAATTTATTACACTGACTGCCAAGATATTTTTCCATAACATTTTTGTAGAGGCTGGACACCAATCCATGCTGTTGCTCAGCTGGACCCAATACAGTATCCTCCACGCAGAGTGTAAACTGGACTGCATTTTGCAATAAAGAACTGATGTTTCTGGCTGATTAAAAAAACCACGAAACTGCATAAGAAAAATAATGGCATATATGTACATTGTTTCTAAAATGAACCAGAAACAGTAGCTCCTCATTATAAAATATAGTACACTTTTTCCTCTTTCTTTACAGTGCTTTTATCCTAAATTTTCCAGGTTTAAAGCAAACTAGTAGTGCTCTGAGAAAAATATAGATTGAGGTTTGGGCTCAACGATCGGTGAATCTGTTGATTTGGTCACACCAAATTTTACAGGCTCAATAGAGTCCACGCCGCATGGGTTTGTGCACTTTTAGACTGCGACAGAAAATCGTATGATGCCATTTTCGCATTGCAAGTAATGCAAGAAGCAAGATGAACGATCCTATGAGGACTTGTGGCATACATGTTACTTGAAAACTTCTGAACGTTTATTGTCTTTGATTAAAATTCAAGCGAGTCAAAACATCGACGGAGAAACTGCACGACTGAATATCGATGCCTAGGGAACAATACTGCCTCATCGACAATTTAGGCATAAAAGAGTAAGCGACTTTGCTGCATTCCACAATATAAAATACGCTAACTGATGCTTTTGGTTTTCTCCAATTCTGCATGGGAGCAGTGTATTGACTTTGTAATGTATAAAGAAGTTGCAAACCTAACCTCAAAGTTACAAAAAGTACAAAGTTTTTTCTACGTCCTGTGAAATGATCAGTTTGAGAATAGACGGTAAGGATCCTTAGCCATTGATATCTTGTTTACAACATTTCAAAATGACAATTTCTCATTTTCTTTTATCAAAGGCGAACATACCAATGCTATTGCTTCAAATTTATGCAAAAAATTTTCAACCCAGAGAAGAAAAATCAGGGAACTTTTAAAGAAATGATATCAAGTAGTTTTCAATTTAAAAAATAAAGAATGACAGGAAGTTACAACTTCACAAAACCGAGATGGACATTCCTGCAGTTTTACCTTTGATTTATCATCTTTAGTATCTTCAGGGTTACATCATCTCTAGCATTTCTGATTTTAATTTTAAATAGAAATTTTGAAACTAAAGTGTCGCATGAAATAATAATGAAACCTGCTTCTTTTGTACAAAAAGCCGAGTCAAACAAAAAAGTGCTCATTCCAAATTGTTAAAATTATTCTGTTTAAGCTATTCAGATAAAAGTTACTCATTACAGAAAAGCTAGTTTGATGAAAACCTTGATCTCTGGATAGAATCATAAAGAAAGAAAGAAAGAAAGAAAAGATTCTCACCTTGAAAAATTTGGCAGCATCAAGCAAAGGTCGAAGGTCAGCTTCAGTAATACTTGTTTCACCGCAGTACATGAATTCAATGAGTGCTCGCAGAACACAAAACTTCATGTCTTTCAGCATGATAAGAGGATGATGACCCACTTGAAGTTTGAGTAAGTCCTGAAGGACAAAATTAAAATATGTCACACCTTTAAAATTTTGTAAATATACATTTTACAAAAAAAAATTAGAAATAAAGAGAGGAGAGCTTCGAAGGTCCATCTTGCCAAATCCAGTTTATATTCTCAAGTTTAACAGTCAATTTTAAATAAAATATAACTTCCACAGAGAAGGGAACATTGTCCTCCTGGAAAAGGGTTTCATCTTATGAGCAACAATCTAGCTGTTCACCAAGATTACCTAACCTAGGAAATGAAGTCAGTAAAATCAGAAAAAAATTGCTTCCTCAAGAAACGGATCACTCCATCTAAAATCAGTCTTCCTTTCCCAAAAGAAACCATGGGAGAGCTAAATTTGACATCCTCCATCCATCATATTGCAACTTGAGTCAAATTATAAGATACTATACTTGCATTTCTGAATACAATAAAGAAATCGGTCATGATTGTGACTGCATCTTCACTTACAAAATCAGTGAACTAGTTTCCACATAATACTAGAAGATTTACCAGAGGCATATAATTCAGTACCAATCTAATTTTCAGCAGCATCTTATACCTTTTCAGAGTTACATGGAGTTTTCAGAAAGCAAAAGGGGCAAAGGGCAGCAGCAGAAATGCCTGCGACACATTTATAGGTGCAGTTTGGCCAACGCTTTAGTCCTGTCCCCCCTCCGTCCCTATAACTAGTCCCAGGCAATCATTGTTTGAGACCATCAAACTCGGGTCGCCTGACCTGGAATCGAACCCGGGACCTCCTGATCATAGAGCTAGCGCTAAAACCACTACACCTGAGGAGGCCAACTCAATGTTCCCTCCCAAAATCCAGTTTGACGCGCAATTTACTCACCTGATCAAACATAAATAGCAAATAACCAGTTGCTAAGCCCCAGAGAGCGCTATAAAAGCGACTTGTCTGTATGTATCAAACATAATTGGACCGCGTTAAACAGAAAGGAACCAAGCCACATCAGCTATTGCCAAATTTAACTGGGCAATTTAATTTATTACATGAAAACGGTTGTGCGGATTTTCGTGCAAATTTCAGTGAAAATTCTCCATGGTACGAAGCAAATTCCTTAAAATTTTCAAAGAAATCCGAACAAACGTTCTCTTGTAAGAAAATTAATTGCCCAGTTAAACTTGGCAATAGCTGATGTGGCTTGGTTCCTTTCTGTTAAACTCGGTCCAATTATAAAAAGGACCTAAGTTACAGAAAAATTACTAAAATTTAGAATACTCAAGAATTACTGCTGCCAGTCAAATTAATTGCAGTTTCTCACTCCTCACATTTCACCATCAAGATGCTCAATTATTGAAAAAGTCACACATAAAATTTTTTTTTTCTTTTTTTCTTTTTTACTAGGTACTTCAAATAGTCCACAAGGGCTAATCCCACGCTTTAAGTCCCATCCCCCCTCCGTCCCTACTGAACCAGCCCCAGGCAACCATTGTTTGAGACCATCAAACTCGGGTCGCCTAGCCAGGAATCGAACCTGGGACCTCCCGATTATAGAGCACGCGCTACAACCACTACACCATAGGAGGCCGACGAAATCTACAGCCTTGTTTTTGAATACTTAACGTGGAATGAAAAATTAATTCAAGAAGTTGGCTTTGTCAAAATCAAAACCAAATTTGCAAGATTGTGCTCATCGAAAAAAAAAAACATTCATTACTTAGTAGCTACATACTGATTGAATGTGTTTTGCCAACAGTCCAAATTAATGACGAATGCTCCAAGGAATAAATATATGAACTACATCTCAAAAAAATTGCCTGATGAGAAACATATCTTTATTTTGCCTGAGCCGAGAAAAAGAGCTTTCCGAGTATAAAACTAATAATGCCAAAGGCTACAAAAGATGGCACACTAAACAAGGTGTTCAATGGTGTTTGGTGTGAGAGTTTTCAGTTTTTTCTTTTGGTAAAAGAAAAAAAAAGGAGGTACTTTACCTCAAAATATGGACTACAAGCAGCCAGTACTGAGCCATGAACTCTTAGAGAATGCGTAGCACACATCAACGTGACATCAACGAAAGCCTGTGCCTCCAAGAGTCGACCAAGCCGGGTTGACAAATGTGAGGGATGCTCCTCCCATTGTACCATAAATCGTGTGCCTACCATTTTGCACGTCACTACCTACAACATACAAAAAAAATCATTAGTACACGAAGGATAGATTCCTGATAACAGTTCTATTATTCGACGACAAGAATATTTGTGTACAAATGACACTGATAACTTTTCTAGAAATTGTTAGGTGCTGTGATTTGAGAGTTTCCAACTTCTATGAGTTTTCAAGATGATAGGAAAAAGTCTCCTGGACCTTTAAACAATGAGAACTATTATCGAAACGGAAAAACAAACATTCGTTTCGGTATCCTTCTAAAAGTGAATCAATTTATGGATGCATTTTGGTACTATGACTCAAGCAAGGACAATTGCTCGATAAAGATAATAAATATTTTTACAGTAGTCATTACAGAAATGTTAAAACATACAAAATAACCTTGACTACTGAGCACTTAAGAATGATGAAAAGAGGCTCTTGGAGAAGGCTAGTAGCCACAGAATATACCTGACAAAAGCACTGCCCTCAGACAGATACCTGACAGAATTTAGATGAACTGAAAAAGAGAGAGAACAGAATGACAAAAGGAGCAGAATTCAAGGCTCGGCCACTCTGCAGGGATTTCAATTCCTTCAGACTCTACCGTTTACTATTTTTTGGAGAGTTATGATAAGAGATCAGCGCTAAAAGGGAATAGTTTCTTGAAAATTAACTCACGAATATCAGCATATTATGGATATGCCAAGGCAAGTAATAATGAGTGCAAGAAAAATAATTATGAAAAAGCGTACATTGTCAAGTGAGAATTGTGCTTTCAGAGACAGTTTACAAAACATACCAAAAAATCCTACTTAGTTTGAGGGTTGGTAGTCCGCCCGGGCTCTTAGAGACTAATAGAGTGAAAATTGCCAAGCCAATGAAAACCAAAGAGAGAAGTGAATATGGGGGCTGAAAGTAATTTCATGGTTTCATTAGGCCGCAATTCACAGGTATATCTCTTTCCATCTATATAGGCTCAAAATCCACAAATGTGCGATACACACTAAGATTTTCATCAGATCATGTTTGGACAGCATATGAGTGAGGAAAGTGGCTTAAACTTGAGGAACAACCGAGGTATCTACTGCATTTGCTGATACTTTCCGTTTCTTCCGGCAGATACAGGTCACAAAGAGTCAAAGCATTTAAGGTTAGAAGTATCACTGCAGAAATAACTTTCCCTGAAAATGGTTGGAGTTTAAACAGGAGCTGGTATGCCAAATATAATTGAGGCTTAAGATTCAATGCGCTCCTTTTCAAATCAGACAACTGCGGAGGAAGCTGATACGATCACTTTCTTAAATTCTGGTGACAACTAAATTGATTGAGAGGTTATTGGTTTCCAATTCCACTTTCTGGTTAAACAATTGACAATGTTAATACTATAGTATCTATAACCTGACTTTTCAGAGAGTAAAGGTTAATTTGAGTGCGTAAAATGTTTGACACAAATAAAAGGCTTCGGAGTGTGTGGAAGAATTTTTGCCTTGGATCGTATTCATTATCATAGCCTGGATTGAAGAGCTCAAACTAAAGCTTCCTACATAATAGTAACAGGAGAGGTGAAATACTGATGTACGAAATAACAGATGAGGAAGATAAAAGCATTATTTTAAAAGATTAGCAGAAACATTACGAAAAATAAACAAGAAAAAATTCGTGTACCATGGAATGGGGTTTCAATGGTTAACATCAATATAATCTCTCCACTGAACAAAAGTAGGACACGTTAACATTGGCAAGCAATCTAAAACTCTCAACATTTCGTTAAAGGGGTTGGAGGGATTCTAGCAATTAAATTCCAAAGTCAGAATAATGACAAAATTACGAAAAAAACTACGGGGGCAACGCAATCGGGATCGACGTACATGGCAGCTATACATGAAGTTATGTACTACTACGCGGAAGGTAGGTCATTAAAATTACGTTTCTCAGTGAAACGAGTTTCACCAGAATACTTACAAAAATCCCTGCAGTTACTACGAGATCAGGAACCAATGTATTATTAACTTTAAATTCGGGAAATTGAGATAGACGTCCATTTTTTTTCACAGAACAAGGACCCACTACAAGCAGTTACCAACAAGAATAGATAGATAACCAATTGTCACACGAAACGGAACGGAGCGCACCACTGTAATCACAATACAATAATAAGTACTTGGTCGATTTATCGTTCAACGCAGCATGATGTATCGAACGCCGCGCGAAATATCTGCGCTCATGTCTTCATCGACGAAATAATTTATTAGTACATACATACTTCGGTGGAACTGTACATAATAAATTCAGCAGTATCTTCTTCAGTGCGTACGCTGTGCTAAGGGAAAAAACTCTTATCACCCATAACACGATGTGACGCTTCCGTGATAATGGAAACTGCGGACTAGGGTGTTTCAGTAGTCCTTCCCTCCCCCTCCTATGCCATGCCTGTGCCGTGCTAAGGAAAAACGCCATATGAGCATTTGAATGTTGCCAAATTTCCTCTCGAAAAAATTAATTTAAGGAGAGAGTATTGGATATTTTTTCTCAAAATTTTCTGGCACCTCAAATAAAATTAGAAAAAAAAATTATCTGAAAATCGGATGAAAATCATATGAAAAAATGTCCGGAAATTCGTGATTTGTCGAGGGAAACTCGGCAATATCGAAAGGCTCATTCAGCGTTTCTCCATTTCACGGTACAGATCCTCTCGTGAAATTATACAATTTTTTTTTTTTTTTTATTATTGATATTTATATACTTACCTATTTTACTAATATAGGTGTCGCATACTTACAAGAATCAGACCAATTCCATTTCACTTTGCTAAATTTTCTCTCACATTTTAACTATATTGTGATTGGCAGGAGAAATAGATCATAAGTATGACGACTGGAAACTTTCTGTAAATTTTCCCCAGATCATGAAAAGTACACACATAAAATTTTAAGCCAAAATGTTGCTTGGTCTCCTTGAAAAATAATAAAACGTGAGAAGAAATTAAATACCGTCAGACGTAATTACGCTAATTTAGAGTCCTTCCTCTCTATTTAAGCAAGCACCTTCAGTAAGCAAAGTCATTTCTTCAGTTACTTACATTTAAGTTACAGTCGTGTGCAATAACTTGTATTTCCAAATCCTGCAGAAGGGGGCAACTTACAAGTGCTTCCTTCAACAACCCCCCTTCCTCCCCTCTCTCAAATGATGTCTTTGGTACGGAGTGTTTCTCTGGTCACAATTATTCTGGATCAAGGGGATGATGCTCAAAGAGCTTGCTAGAACGCAAATAATTGTTATTGAGAAGAGTTTAATAGAAAAACTTGGAAACAATAGGTGCTTGAATTGTATCCAAAATATGCAATAGACTCAGAATGGTAAGATTTAAGTTTTGAGTCGAATATGAAAGGTATTTATCATGAATGTGGATCTCATAGCTCACCATTCACAAAGAGTCAAATTATGCACATTTCATCTTCATCCTATTGTGTAATATAACGTAGGCTTTTTACTTTGATAAAGCATGACTCAAATCCTTTTAAAATTACTTAGAAACAACTCAAGGACTGCATTTTCAGTATCACAAACTTCGAACTTTCCAAAAGTTTGCGATACTAATAGTAAATGGAGGTCTCAGAGGCTGCATCTTCTCCTCAGTAGGTAGGTTCTTAATGCTCGATATAAACATCTTTCAACTTTACATCTTTAATCTTCAATTTTAGCTTTCAAAATCCTTGGGTTAATTCTGTTTATCAAATTTAATTAAATGAAAATTCTTTCTGATAGAAAGTCGTAAATTGAAAATGTGAAGTGCCATCAACATCAACACATCATCAAAGGACATCAAAAGTCATAGATTTTGAAGCATTTACTTCTATACTTCTGTCAAAAATACATGAATCATTTTTTTTTCTTCATAAGGTCCTCCTTTCTCTTAATTTTTCATGCATATAATTTAATTTTTGTTAGATTTTTCTACATTTTTTCCTTCAACTTAAGCAGCTTTCTCTCCGCGACAAAAGTCACTTAATGGCAGTTTTTTTACATTGCGTCTGATAGCACTGTCTAGGGACCGAAACAATTTTTAACTTGAGGTGGATTTGTCCTGACCATAGTTTGACATGGCAAGATTTCATTGTAACAGCGTAATGTTTCAAAAATTTTGCTCCAGATTTTGAGAACCAGAAATATAAGAATATTAGATTTCTTTAAATTAAGGAAGGTGGTAGATGTGTGAACTCAATTATCTGCACAAACCTTTGAGTGGAAAAGCTTCGATTAAAGAAGATAAAAATGTAATATTTTGAAAAGTTTCAGGGTTTTTGGGATACCAGATGTAATAATAGTAATGGTAGTAATATGGAGAGTAATAATAAAAAGTGCCATTGATTTTTTGATCAGTAGATTTTATTATCATAACATAATATTTACAGTAGTAAATAAATAAAATTAAATTGAATAATATTCATAGATAATTCACAGCAAAATGTGTGTTGACACTAATTTATTATGTACAAATGAATTTACAACTCAAAGCGTAGATAGTCCCAATTTTTTAAACAAAGGAAACACTCTCATTGACATGAAATAATAAGGAAAAAGCATGGAAATTTTGTATAACAATGGGGTTTCCAGTGTTTCAAACCGGGATGAGGAGAATAGATTGGAGCTAAAAATTTGTCAATTAGACAATGCTAACTAAAATAAATTATTCAAGTGGCTAAGTGTAGCTTTAAAAAAAATGAGTAAATTTAATTGAATATTGAAAAAGTTGTTGCCGTGGTTTTAAAGAAAACCTGGTGCACAACTTGCACCATTTGTTTCAGACAAGTTGAAGGAAACCCTTTGAGCATTGCTAAAAGTAATCAAATTTTTTAAAAAAGCAAATAGAACATAACAATTTTTAGAGTGGTTTCATAAAAACTCACGTTCAGCACCAAAAAATTTTATATTTATATTAAAACAAAAAGCATGTACTTCTTAATTCCTCTAATTCTGTATTCAAAGCAAAAAACAAACAAAAGAATAAAAGAACAACTACACATATTGGGAAAAAGCAAAACATTTTCTAACACTTCCTTTCTTATTAACTGAAAGAGAACTGAAAGAGAGGCCAACTTCACAAGAGAGGGCCCATTGCCGACATTTGTCAATGTTTGGTCCAAGTTTTTTGAAAATTTTCAGTCTTCATGGAATGTCTTCTTTTAATATGTGGGAAAGTGCGCAGTCATTAAAGTTTACACTTGCCGGGTCGTAGAAGAAAATTTAGATACTGAATCCTCTGAATTCCTTAAAAAAAATAGTAAACCTCTTCCAAACAAAAGAAAGCTTGTACATAAGAGAAACTTCTTAGCTATGAGTACACTTTATGGTTTCAGAGAGAGTTTTCATGAGAATCTTCAAGACATCATGGTGACTTTTTGACAACAATGAAAATAATTTAATAAAGGATTAAAAACCATGCACAATAAGTGGCTCCTATTACATAAAAGGTAAGAATCTCCTCTTCCCACACTTACAGGAGAAATGATATCGATTTAAAATTAATCATTTCAAATTGTACTCCTCTTGTTTTGAGAGTAGTATCATTTAATCTTATAGATTATCGTGGCTGAAAAAAAACTCAGCTACAGTCCTACTTTATTCATGATTTGCTTCTTTCCTTGGATTGAAGTCTAACGTCAGGTTTTATACAGAAATATCTTCATCAAATTTATTTCCCCCTCAAATTGAGTACATAATTGCAGTTTTTTTCCCGAACAAAGAAAATGCTAGAATACATTCTTACACTGCAAACCAACAATTTTAGATATTTTTAATTAATACTTCTTGATGCTTCTGATTAATTATATAGTACAGAATAGAAGTGGGGCATCCATTTGATAAGTTGGTTGGCTTAAACTAAAAAATGAGGCAAGAAAAAAAACTTAAGGAAAGGACTCTAGCATTTCATTGCTGTGTATGAATTAAAAATGTAACCAAAGGGTAACCTTAGTAGCATAGCTTGTAAAATAAATCATAAAAAAATTCAAACATGTTGTTTCTAAAAGTTTGAAAGTTGTACTAGAAAAAAACACATCTATCATCAAAATTCAAGAATTTAACATGAAAAATTTTTGAATTAAGAGGTGAAAACTAACTGGGAGGGTGAGCTGAATTATTCACATGTGTTCCTTGTAGGACGAGATGTTGGAGTTTTTTAGCCAACGTGCGTAAAAAATTCAGCTTAAAGCTGAAATCTCGTTAGAGAGGGAAAAAGCTCACACACAAGCACAATTTTCCCTCAAAGTTGGTTGGTGTGTTCCTTGTACGAAATACCACATGATGGTTAATTCAGGTCTGTCATACAAATTTGTACGATATTTTTTTCTCTTTTTTTTTTTGTAAGTTTTATGCGTAGTGCTACCAGGGAAACTTCATTTGAGGAAAGCTTAACATTATTTACTCTAACAGAGAAGAGAATACTACTCTCTAGGAACAGAGTTTAGAATTTCAGAAAATACAGTCTGGCTAGATGAGTGACCTGATATACCTTGATTAAACTTGATCATGTTAAAACTGCTAACATTAAGAATACTGAGTTTTTTTTAAAAAAAAACTTTTACAAAGAGCAAAGCATGGCAAATACTAGTAATAATACACTTGAATTGTATGAGATTTTTCCCAAATACTCTTCACGGAACTTTAAGTCTATGTTCTTTGCACCACTCCCATAGATATAGATAAACTTGGAGTGAACAGAAAATTTTGATGATTCGTAAGTTAGGATGGAAAAATACAGGAACTAAAAGAGAGGAATACTTATGAAAAAAAATATGTTAAAATGACTAAAAAAAGAAGAACTTCAAAGGTAAGTATACAGTAGGTATACAATTACGAGATTCATAAGATATGGATGGCCGAAATGCAAAACCACAAACCCCTGTTTGAGGCATTACAAATTTCCTGTCATCCTTGTCTCGTACTTTTCCTTTGGAAAACTAGTTAACATAATTCCCTGAAAATTTCCTTGTTTGTCTCCTCTGTTAACAGGTAATTCTGTATAGACTTCAAGCACTTATGTTGACTTGTTTCTCTTTGACTGATTATTGCAATGGTAATGGATACTTAGAGCAGTAGCTCATGTGGTGTAAAATTTACTTAGATAAAGCTGTACCAAAAATGAGAGAACATAATAGCACATTAAAATCAAAGCATAGTTTCTGCAAGGATGAAATCCTTTTTCAATCTGACAAAAAGTAATCATAAGAAACTTTAACTTTTAGGGACTCAACATTTCTTTACACACAGCGTTGGGGCGGCAAAACTTATCTACCATCTTTTTGGCCATCGCATACCTGTTGGATGTTTGCTCCTCCCATTGAATTGTTGATTCCCCATTGAAAATCTACTATTATACCTTGTCTGTATAGTTGAAAAACTTAGCAACATAATTTCTTGAAAAAGTTCATGATTTTGTTTTTATGTAAAAAGTATCAAACGATACTCGTAATTGACGTGATGAAAGTCTGTCCAAACAAAATTCTTTAAAATAATAATATAAAGAAGTTTTAAAATACCACAGTCAAGAGATCTGTATTTCTAGTTTCACCAATAATGTACTTTAAATAATAATAAAGTGATCCTCATAAAAGTAAGAAGTCCTGTAGCTTTGAATCAAGTCTCAATCATTTGTTCCTCATAATTCTCTCGGAGAAGGGCTATCTGCTGCTGGTCAGAGGGGTTCACAAACATCCCTCCCACCTCTATCCTAAACAAACTGCTCATAGCAGAGCAATTTCAAACCATAAGAAAGGTACTGATGATTACATGAAAATAACTATGCAGCTGTTTTTTTTAGAAAACTAAAATAACGTTTGATTTTGAGTCACATAAATTAATGTCAGAGAGGAATATGTGGTTGAATTCAAATTTTCAATGACAAGTTTGGTAACCTCATCTACTATTGAACTTTTACTTGAAGCTTTATTCTTCCAAAAGCTAGAGGTAACCATGAAATTTAAGTTTGATGCAAAATTTTAGAAAACTGCCTTTAAATGCTCCAAAATACTTAGAAAAAATGAGCAAAAAAGAAATCTCTCTAATAAATGCAAAAGGGAATAAAGGATAAATAAACTCCATCATGCAAAGAGGAACTACTGTTTTTGGCTCATTTGAAAAACAACATATGTGGCATGGTTTTTCTATGCCTATAAGTGCTCATATAGATAAGCCCGAAATAGTAGTTCCCTATTGACTAATGTTGTCCGAATGATAATGACTATTCAGTTTTATTACAGTTGTCAATCATGAACATTCTGTCACTGATAAAAACAAACTAAAGATAAAATTAAGTACACATCACAATTATGCAAAATACTGAGTCAACAGGAAAAAAAGACATTTGCTGAGACTAATTCTAGAATCATATGACATAAAAAATCAGTGTTGATTGCTTCTTTGAAAAGAAAGAAAAGAAAAAGGGTCATTACACAGCATTGATTTCATAACAAAAAAAACAATTCAAAACAACACAAGGGCAAACAAATACCAATTATTTTTCAGACCGGTTAGCGGGTTTCTTGTCCTCCTCCGAACTTTTAAGCTTCTTCTCTTCTCTGAATAAAAAAAAAAAATAAAATCATTAAACAAAAACGGACACAAAAAATTAGCCAAAAACTAAAAAAAAGAGAAAACAGAAAAGGAAATAAAAATTAGCGACAAGAAAAATTACGAAACTAATTTATAAAAATCAAGAGAGACCATCCCAGTTTTACGATAAAAGAACAGCCAGAGTTTTATGTATTAACCACTTCTAGGAGTTAACTGGATTGCATTTTGCAAAAAGGAACCACTAGCATTGCAATGTTGCTAAGATTGTGCAACTTCTTTTTTCTTGGAGGAAAAACCCAATTATCCATTGATAGTTTCTATTTTACTCGCTAAAAATTGTAAATTTAAGACAAAAATTACCATCTAAATTTCATAGTTTTTCATGATGTCCGCAATTTTATTGCAAAAGATGCAGTTGCAAAATCTTCGCATCATTGCAATGCTAGTGGTTCCTTTTTGCAAAATGCAATCCAACTGTACCTTCCTTTATTATGTCTTTTGGTAAAATTTTATGAAACTCAAACTATTCTCTTTTCTGACGCGAGTCAGACATCTTCCTGGGAAATCCAGTATTTTCTCAGACAATTTCAAGATATTTGCGACTGAAAAACAGAAAAAATTGAGTCAAGCTCAATAAGGGCTACCTCTCGACAGGAAAAACAAAATCAAAAACTTTTGAAAAAATATGCGTTTTCCAATACACTGAATGTGAGCAAAAGCAAGGAATCTGTAGGAGAGAGAGTAGTAGAGGTCCACTAATAAATGAGACATTCCATGAAGCAAGAGTTTAACGATTTTGTTCAGTATGATTGATAAAAAAAACTAGAGTTTTTTTTTGGGAGGGGGGGGGGGGGCAGCACTTCAGCACTTACAATGAGCTAGTTCAGAAATTTTCAATTCTTTCATTCTTGAAAAGAAGAGGGTATAATTTTCTTGCCTTTTTTTCCCAACGATAGTGCACAGAAGACAAGTTCTAAGTTGCCTATTCAGAGTTTCCATTTAAATAAGCAATGCCAAGAAAGCTGAAATAGCGTCCGAAAATGTCCCTCTTGCTACCTCACCACCACGGTTAAATCGGTATCTCTGTCACAACCTATAGTCCATGCATATGATATCAATGCCCAGAACAAAGAGGAATACTTCCTGACACCATTATGGCTCTCTCAGTAATTCGTATTTAAATAGAAGCTCAGTATAAGCAACTTGAAATTTATTTCTTGTGCGCCAAAATTATTTGAAAAGTCTAGGAAAATCACTGATCAAGCTCCTTAGAGCAGTAAAGGGATACATTGGAATGTTTCATGAAATTATACCAGAAGACAATTCTCATGGGGATTGTGAGAGGCCCTTTGTCTCGTGAGAATACCAGAAGAAAGAGGGCATTCATTCAATGTTGTTTCAATTGACAATTGAATTTCATTCAACACAGAAATTGAATGCACAATAAAGCAAAACTCCCAATTCAAGTTCAATTTTACACTAACATTAAAAAAACCCTAAATAGAGTTTCTCTGTGGTTCTCTCTTGAAAAAGCTTTCCAACTTGGGTTAAATTTCTAATCACTTCTTGTCCATGAGACTTTAAAGTTCATAGGGTGAGTACTATTCAAAACGTTGGCCACAACCGTTTTACAACAGAAAGGTGAAGAGCCCTTCCATTTTTGCACAAAATAAGTCTCTTATGGCATCTTTAGAAGGAAATGTAGTGACGCAGCACATTCTTGCCATTAGTGCTGGGAAATCAGCACTCTTCCCATTTAAACTCCCATTAAATATCCCCATTTGAATGCACAACCTGGCAATTTTGAACATAGCATCATAATTAGAAATTTTTTATACGGAGTCGCGTCGATCCTGATGAGAAAATTATGTAGACTGAACCAAAAAGCTGGTCCCATTAATTTGAAAGAAATATAAAATTTATGTAATCTTTGTAGGCAATTCATTTAAAAAAACAGCAAAAGGTAAGAGAAGAGAATAGCGTCTTCAGAGAACCCCATAAGCTCCAATACTACAGAAACAAAATAATTCCAGTTAATTTTTAGCTGAGGAAAAATTTAGACAGCAATCTAAGATACAGACAAGAATATTTCTCAACCTCCATGATACAACCTCATCCCAAATAGGTGTAAATGAGATAAGTTGAGATTACTTTCACGAACCAAAATAATTTGATAGAAAAATTGAACTACTATTTTTTTTCAGCTTGCAAAACATTTTCAGAGATCAATAACATGCATAAAATTTTACCTTCCATAGATCGAAGCATGACTGTATTAAAATGCAGAAATAGAAGGTGTAAAAATAAATTACCACGCCCCGTTAAAAAAGTTTGAAATTTAAATCCACAGTCGAGATATCAATTTCTCTGGTCAATGCAATGATAAAACTAAATCAGTTAACAGTTCATATTCAATTAACAGCAATTACTTAAGTTTAAAATTAGTCAACAATAATAGTAATAGTTCTGTGTTTAGTAAAAATAAAGGATAGACATGAAAAATTACTTTCAAAACTGAATATAAAATCTCTACACAGTAAAATCTAAAAGGCAAAGACAAAAGAAGGATAAGGGTCAGTTTAACAGTTCAAATTATACACTAATCTTGCAAAACAAACTTTTGATAATGAATACTTATCAATATTCTTTCATTCCTTTCATCCAAGCCTTGAATCGCAATGGAACAAATATTTCATCGGAACTTTCTCCATGAATATATTGTGATTCATACACAAATCCTACATTAAGACCAGGTGGACCAAATTAATGTAAAAATAAAAATTTTGAGACTTAAAGAACTATTTTCAACTAAGGATAGTCATGTCTTACATGTATCCAATGTGCAAACTAACTAAGACACATAAAGTAAGAAATAATGAAAATAGTACTTGAATCAACTAATGAAAAGATACTGTTAATTTACATGACATCTCAAATCTTCAGCTTCTCTTCCTACTAAAACTACTCAACAAGTTCAGAGCCTACAGAGGGCAAAATTAAGTAATCTGGAATCATCTACAGACTCTACCGGTGGCTTGTCCATGAAATAATTACAAGATAAAACAAAAATATTGACTAAAAAACATGAGATGTAATATAAACTATCTAGTCAGTAAAAATGGTGAGAGAAGGCATGAAAGTCGACCTTTCCCAGAAGGAAAAAAAGCCTCCCCGGAAAAAAGACAGAAATAAGAAGAAACATCTTGCTAGATAATAGAGCTGAGAATCATTTTAAAACAGGAGAACTAAAATATCACTAGAGCAATTTTAATTCTTCTATAAAAGACGAGACTTGGCAGATTGACAAAAGAAGAAAAAATAACTACTCATAACATGGCACAAATGAGGAGTGGAAATAGATCCAAACTCAACAAGTTCTTATATCGAAAATTGGAAAGAAAGCATGCAGAAGTAGGGATGAAATCCTTCAAATTGAATGATAAAAGTAGACAAAGAACTCTGCAATGAACTAATAGAAAATGGCAGCACCTCAAACTAGATAATAACTTACATAACTTACATAAACCTATGTTTCACCTGTTCCATAGGATTTTTCATTGTTGCATTATCTTTTGTTGTTACTCAAACTGGCATTTCACATTGTATAAAAAGAAGCAGGGCTAGGAATGTATTTCATAGCTAATCGAGCTTTTTTATTTGGAAGGTGTAAAGCCCAATTCAAACAGTCATACTTTTCATCTGACAAAAAGTTGAATGGAAAGCTTGATGCAGAAAAATTTGATTCAATAACTGTTGCCATGTGATGATATCAAAACATAGGACTTGGGTATTTCAGCCACCTTCCGGTTCACAAAAATACAGCTTTAATAATGTTGGTTGGAAGATATCGTTTAACTTCCATCCAATTGGCAGATAATTGGATGGAAATCGGAAGGTTAAATCAGATTCAAGTTCTCATTCAACTTTCCGTCCTATTGATGTGTTCATGTGTCAGTATCACACCATCCGCTTTTTGATCCGACAAAAGCGGAAGAAAAGTTGATTGAAGATTTGACCATCTAAATAATTGGAGTTTACCCTTTATTGACAAAAAAAGTTCTTCCTGGTTTTACAATCAAAGCGATCCTTCAGCAAAAGACCTTACAAAAAAACGACCAAATCGGCCTAAACACGGAATCCTACAATTTTCTCAGGGATAAAAGAGAATCTTTCCAGACACTCAAAACTAGTCTTATTTTTTGCTTAGCCCCCAATATTTCGCTTCCATTGAATGATTCACTTTCAAAATGACCTACAGAAGCATAAAAATACAAAAACTCGCCACTTGCAAGCAATCCAGGGGGCGCAGGCAGGTGACCTTGAGACTCGGAACATACAAGGTTCCCGCGCGCTGCATCAACTTTGAAGACTCATAACTCCACTTCTAATCGTTTCCTAAGATGAACTTTGGCTTGTTTTAAACCTTAAATGTTCTACTTTCATTTAGGATTGTCTTTGTTTTGCTTCAAGCATATTGAACGACCAAAAAACTCGAAAAACAAAAATTTACGAAAGGGGGACCTTGTATAATTCCCCCAGAGGTAGGTCAAATTTTTAAATAGTATTAATTTCATACATATATTCTGATAGCTCTTATTTTTCTGGAAATTTTGACACCAAGATCATTTTTCTACAACGTACCGTTGAGAAGTTATGTTACTTCAAAGGTTTTGGTTTTGATCACCTCTCCCCTTTTTCCCCGAAGGCAAGGCAAAAAATAAGACCAGTTTTGAGTGTCAGGAAAGACTCTCTTTCATCCCTGAGAAAATTGTAGGATTCCGTGTTTAGGCCGATTTGGCCGTTTTGTTGTAAATTCCTTTGTTTCATCTCTGTGGGATACTCCTTTACATCAAAGAACTCTCCTGTTTTTTCTTGATATCAGCATGACGGATCTTTAATCAAGTGAAAATGACACTTTTAAGACTTTAATTATTAGCAGCTTTCTGAATTAAAGCAATTTAAACTCAGATTATCATTAAGAAAAATGAAAATTATTAAACTACGTTTGAGGAGTGGCCATTTTCGTCAAGGGACATGGTGGGTTCTGCGAAGGATTTGTTTGAGTGCCTGCAGGAATAATAACACAAAACTAGACATGGCTGCTTTTTTTTAAAAAAAAAAGAAAAGAAAAGGAAATGGAGGTAGGGTATATTTGAAATATTTCTTATTTTTTCTTCTCATTGGACCTGTTCTTCCATGATGACATAAATTAAAGGTAAAGTGATACATCAAAATTCCATAAGCCTACAGGCACTCTAAGTAATCTAGATCCCGGCTCAGGGAGGGGGGGGTTGTAGAGTTTACAAAACACAAGCTGTAGAGAAACTAATGAACCATCATTCTAAGTCTGATTCTCGCGTTGAGTAGATAGCTGCTCGGTAACTGTACCTGTTCAGCGAAGGACTATTTTTCCCACTATTTGGATTCATCACAGGTTCATCACAGTATTCTTCTTCCATTTCACCTACTTCTCCTATACAAGAGTCCGTCAGTGAGGAGGGCTGGTCTAGTTCAGGATATTGCGAAAGTTTCGAACGTAGTATCCATGCGTAAGTGCTGTATCGCTTCAACTAGTAACAAAAAAAATTAGAATTAAATCAAGTTAATGTTTACTTTTCAGTGATTAGTCATTGTTAAAGGTTGGTCGGCACAGCAACTTGATTCTGAAACTGATTAAAACAAAATCGGCCATTCTTGGCAGTTTTAGCTTTGAATTCATGATAAAATTTTGCAAAATTCCATGTTTATATAATGTTAAAATTTTTTAAAATTACGCGCCTCTAGTACGAGAAATTCAATGTGCTCCTCGCAAATGAGTTTAAGCATTTACAACTAAGTTGTGGCCAGCTGACTGTGAAATCACACAGAAAACCGATGAAATGTGATAGTGTCAACTACTAGTGGTGGAGATCGTCGCAACGCTAACACTACCTACTTGTAGATTTGCAGTTAGCATTCTCATCACTTGGCAGAGTGATGCGAAAATACCTTAGAAAAAACCACTTACCGTAACCAGGGTTGCCACTGAATTTAGAAAATGAAATCCCGCAACATTTCTCAGATTATCCTGACATTTAAGTAAAATTCCCTGACAGTTGAGGATATACCAGATTGTTAAAAATACATAATTTGAAATAGTTTGCGGGCAAACTTTGCTATTCGAAATACCAAATCCATTCTAGAAAGGGGATAAAGGTGTCTTAACAATTTTTCCTCGACACTTTTGTCATTTCTCCAAAGATTTCCAGGTCTTCCCTGACATTTCCCAGTTTTCTCTGGTTGTAGCAACCCTGTAACACCCATTTTGGCCTGAGACAGCAACAAATCAATTATTACAATGACAAGCTGTACGGAAAGTGTACTAACTTTTGAAAACATAATAAATCAGCCTCCTTTTGAATACATTTTGATACGATCAACAATGTAATGGTCAACATGTTGATAGAAATAAGTAACCTACTAGGGGGAACAAGGTACTTACCTCATGATGTAAGTAGGAATTTTTCTCTTTGTAGTTCTGGATTGTTAAAGCTTTGGCACCTCTTTCGGGGGGATGACTTGTATGCTTATCCAACTCTAACTCTAATCGCATCACAGTCTCTTCATGACTAAGCATTTGCTCGCGCTAAAAAACAAAAGACGTGAAAAATTATAAATTTGTAAGGAGAAAAAACACGTTTTCAAGGAAATATTACTGGGTATGGTTGTATATTTTTGTACGCACGGCTGGCTCTACTCAAAGACCATGTTACTTGCCAAGTTTGAGTTTTGACTCTGTTGTTCAATGTTGTCAATATGTTAAGAGCTTGAGCTCTTTTTAATCCTACCATTGACTACACCAAAAAGAGGGCTATCAATTCCCTCAAAATAAATGTCAAACTTTCGTGTTGTTTTTGTACATTGGAATTCTCTCTCCCTTGACCTTCTCTACTAATTCAACTGTGAAGTCAATTCTGTGGTCTTTTTTATGATAATGATTGGAAACAGCCAATTTCATTACACAAAATTATTTTCATAATGTCTTCAATATTTTCATTCATTGCATTACACTTACGCTCGAAGCCTCTAACTTTTGTTTCTCTCCTCCTCTCAAAGACAGTCTTCAGAACAGTTACGCACACTATTACACAAATTGCTGGTTTAAATAAAATTGAGGAACTTTAATGTAAAATACAAAACTTTTTCAACGTTCAAGAATATTTAAGAACTAAAATACAAGGATACATTCACTTATATTAGCGGATTTCTGGAAGCATGACAAACCCTGATAAATACACAGACTCTTCAAACTTGTCGTCAAATTCGTCAAAACTATTTCTTTACAGAGCAGGAACAATGTGCACTATCTCCGGTGAACATCAGCAACAGACTTGAATGATGAAAAAATTGGACTCACCAAATTTAATTTAGTATAAGTAGTTGGTAACAAGGGTCTTTGGAATTTCTTTTGAGAACCACAGCCTCCGGGTAGAGGTGGTGCTGAAAAACTTGCACAAACAAAATTAATCGTATCTACCCAGGATTGCAGCTCCTTGGAATCACTGAAAATAAAATGAGAAATGAATGAGAAAATTGGGTACTAGAGAAATAGAGAGATTAATGCATGAGTAAATAGTAAGTTTTCAAAACAAAATTGACTGATTCAGGAGTCAGTCGAAATCTTGATAAGTTGCTGAGTAAATAATAAGTTGAAAAAGTTATGAGTAACAGTTAGGTGAATAGTCTCTGTTCGTTTTCTAGGGTTAGTGATAGAGAAAAGTAATTAAAAAAATGACAACAAATTTTTAAGTTTGGACATATGCTTTTCAAATGATAATTTCTTCCTCATGTGCTATCAGTCTCTGCTACTCACAAAAAGGGGTGACTATATAACAAGTAAAAAATGCTATCCGGCCAGTGTTCTGCCTCCCTTATATGCCACACGGCCAAATGCTAAAACTCAGACTTGGGCGCTGCGCCACCATGAAACCTGTTGGAGACATACGTTGACACACACACAGTCAATTACTTCAAATTTGCTATTGCCATGATGCGCAGGTAATAATTTGGCTGGTAAAAAATAGTAGATGGCTCCTAAAAATTGGGCTTTCCAACCGGAGTGGCTCTAAAACATTTTAAGGGGAAGGTAGAAAACTGGATAAGACGTATCAGAAGTGTCAATCACAGAATAAAAAAATCCTCTTTTCCCGTCTTATTTGTCGTGCAAAAGAACATGGGATTTTAAAAAATTTTAGGACTTTCAATACTGTTGAGCAATTTTTGAAAATTTGAGGATGATCAATACATCAAAAAACTACTAAATAGTTCAAGTTTGTTCAAAGGCTTTCAAGGCTTCAAAGACCATGTGAACTACGATGATACAGAAAAGGATACCCGCATACCATGGTTGCCAGATTGTCCGGGTAAAATGTGTATGATTTACATTGGTTTAAATGGGGAAAATACTGATATTTTAGCACCATCTGGAAACAGAGCCGCATACCTGGTTTGAAAAAGGTACTCTGCTTGATCTGCTGTCTGGAGCCGGAACACATGCTGCTTTTTTCTATAATCAGTAGCTTTAGTTGCTAAGGAATGGTGAATGCGTATGGCATTGTGTAAATTATCACTAAGTTGCGTTTTTCTGAACCCATGTTCATCTTTATGTAAATATAAGACAAAATCTCGAAGAGTGCAATAAAACATCTTCCAGCCTCTTTTTCCTAGGGGAGCTAAAACAAAATGAAAGAGAAAAAATCGGGTGAGTGAGTACACACAATTTTTCTTTGCTCCCATTGCCAAATTTTTTGGTTAGGATTCAATTGGCAATACAATGGTTACAAAATTTTACCACTACAGTGATTCAACAAGCTCTCTGACGTGGTCAAACCGGCATTGCATGCCAGTTCGACCACATCAGAAAGCTTGATGTATCACTAAAGGTCATTAACGCATCATTGATGGCAGGGTGCCTCATATCCTTCTGACTTCCTGAAAGATTTCATTCCCAATCACATAGTGAAAAAGACTGACATTCTATCCAGCTGCCTGAGAGAGCTTGAAGGTAGGATGTAAAAATATTTTTAAACGAGGTGAAAATAGGGGATAAGATATCTTCCTGGGAAATAGGTGCAAGGTGTCCATGTTACCAATTTTTCTCATTGCCATGGAGTCCACAGTAAAAATTTCGGAGAGTTTTCCTACGTTGAATTTTAGAGTATGGATTTCCAAACATTAGGGCTGTGCGAGTACTCGAATTTCGAGTCGAGTCGAGCCGAGTATCGAGTACTCGACTCGGCTCGAAAGTTAGGTTAGGTTCGAGCGAGTACTCGAACTCGGCTCGAGTGTCAACAACACGAGTTTTTTCGAGTATTTCGAGTTTTTTTGAGCCGGAAACGCCGAAAGAGTCCAACTTCTAAATATTTCAATCATACTTAAACTATTGTTAGTTTTGCCATCATTTTACGATTGAATAACCTCAGAGTCTCGTCGGCAAATTTCTACCATCCGCAGCGCCAACACGCTGCCGCCCGGCGATTTCCTGCCGCCCGCGGTTTGTAACTACACGGAGTCATATGAGCGCATTTATGCGCGCGACAAATTTCAACCTGCGGCGGCGACCGCCGCTTGGAAAACTGAAAGTGAGCACGTGTTTTGGACCTTTTGCGCTCCAGAAAAACGGTGTCGCGGCGGCAGAAAATGGTGCTGCGGCTACAAAAATATGGATCGCGCGATTCCAAAAAACGTCGCGGCGACAACTGCCGCCGGCGACACGGCGACACGAATTGCGTGCATAAATGGGCTCTAAAGCCTTCACTTTTGCCGCCCGAAGTTCCTTTGATGTACCTACGCTGCACCACGCCGCTTCTTGCCAAGTTTGATCCCCTTTTCAAATTAAACCGCGGGAAGTTATTTTAACACGTTACTGCCGAACATTTTGTAATTTTAGTGTGAATCCTTCCTAGTGTGTCATCGTCAATAATTATTAATATCATATTATGAGTCTTGTTTGGAATTATTTGTTGTAGAAAATAGATTAAATCACGTTTTAAAACTCGAAATTACTCGAACTCGACTCGAGCTCGACTCGGCTTGAGGCTCATTTTCAAAGCTCGAAAAAGCTCGAACTCGGCTCGACTTAGTGAAAAAATACTCGAACTCGGCTCGAATCCGAAAAACCAGGCTTGCACAGCCCTACCAAACATCATTGATAGGCATTCTGACAGCAAGCACACCGCTCATCCACCATCATCAACCTTGTCCTTTGTTTTATGGTGTTCCTCCGTCCAAAAAAGTTTCAGAGTCATTTAAACTTAGATTTTTGAGAGAGGATCTTTAAAGTAGTAAGGAGGTAAAAAATAAAAAAAAAATTTAAAAAAACAACCACAAGGGAGGGCAGCTTTTACGATAAACCAAGGAAACTCATTGTTCCTTTAATTTTGAGCAGCCCCTGAGAATATGTGCTCTGAGATTTATTTTCAATACAAAATCATATAAAAAGACAATTAAAGAGAACATGAAACAATAATAGTACTTACTTCTTTTGCCATTAGGCTCGACGCAACACTTCCGCATTACATAGCCTTTCTTATATTCTATAGTTGATGACATGGACTGGAAGAAACCTTTGTCTGAAGCCATTATCTGACAATTGTCATTGGTAAGACCTACTCCTCCTTTCATAGAACCATTATCTTCGACTTCATCGTCCCTGTGTGTGATTAAAAATAATAGAAAAAAATTAAAAAATAAATTTTAATATCTTTTTTGATAAACAAGTCAACAGAGGTTTCTGACCCCTCATTGATAAAAAACCTAGGAAGCAACCTACAACCAAAAATTTTAATTAGTGGCAAAAGTAATAGAAACTGTTTTACAAATTATTCAATCTTCACCAATATTATATAACATATGTAAGTCCTTTCCCCCTCCCTCCTTTGTTGGTACCATGTAACTCTCTAGCATATGCATCATTTTTTGTACTTTATTTCTCAAAAATGTTCACTGATCTCTTACATCGACTTTTACGCTGTTAGTTGTGACATGTTATTATTGTAAGTCACTTTTGTTCCCTATGTGTGCACTAGTCAGCTTCCTGCTGCCATGTCAGGGGCCATACACAAGTGTCACCCGAAATGAAAAAAATGATACACGATGGTTTTGAAACGATTATATACCGTACAGAAAATACATATTGTATATGATGGTACAGATTTGTAACAAAGCAGCCTTGATAGAAAAAATTAAAAATTCTATAATGAATTACAGAGATAACTCAGAAAGCTCTCAAAAAGAATTGTGCATGTATCATACAATTTTATACTTACACTGCCCATTCAAGCGAACAATTCTTAATGGCATGATAGGAGGCTTTGAGAACATCTTTGGGGAAGTTCTCCCCATCATCATTTAATTCAGCTAGATTTTCGATGAATTCAGAGCAGGTCATTTTACGTCCAATTATTTTACCATGAAGATCGGAATTGAGTAGCATAAGGGCACAGGTTAAGGTATGAACAGCATCTGAAATGATAGAGCAAACACAGCTACGTTTAAAGAAAGCAAAGGCTTATAAGTTAATCTTATCCGCATTTACAGAGGTCTTTGGAACTAATGAAATGACCACAACCAAACTTTCCAGAAAAATAGCAGCCTAATTCTGCAGAATGAGCAATCCTGTAGATGAGGTTCAGCCAGTTGGCAACCCCAAAAGTAAGGTCAATGCATCAGGCATTAATCGACCCAATCAGCGCCTTATATTACAATTTTAAAGGTAAACACCGGATAAAATTGGTGACTGACCACAGGGATTGCCACAAATTTGATAAGCTATGTGCACGCAGCAGATTTCACAGTTATGGCATCTGCCTATTTTCAAAGTAACAAAATCCACAGAACTGGATTAGAGCAAAGTTCTTTGACTAAACATGAAATACACGGATGATGAAATTTGACTGAGAGTATGCGAGTAAGAGAGACACATCTTAATTTGGTTGTTCTGGAATCTCCTGAGACATTTTTTGCCTTTCAGGTAGGAGCTCGTGGCAATTTATCTAAATACATGTATCATTAAATCAAATTTTAGGTATGATGTTTAATTGGTCTCTGGATAACAGCGAGAATATTGATGCATACATATTGACATGCTGTAACAGAGGAAAGCTCCCATTTTGGAAAGAAACAAAGAAATTGAAGGAAAAATCAATAATCAATTGAATACCTTGTGATTTAAAAGCACCAGGATTGCAATCTAGGTAGCGTTTGGAAAAATGAACTAGAACTCGTTCTCGCTCCTGGGTTTCACCTGAGAGGCTGAACTGTTTCAAAAATTTACGTAACGCTACATCTAAAGTATCACCTTCAAAATTGAAGTATTTTAAGAATTCGTCAGCAACTGCTCTGCTAAAATCATTACTGAAAAAATGAAAGAAAACAGTTAAATAGTGTATAGATCCTTCTTGGAGACAATAAACATCATTGATAAGGTCTTACTGTACGTAAGTGAAACAACTTATGTTGACAATATTGGGCAACAAAAGGTAAGATAAACAAAGCTGATAACTGTGCTACCGTACAAAGGAAGAATGCTGCACGAACCTTTGAATGTTGCCTAACCCCCCCCCCCCTTTGGTTTTTTCAGTTACTTTAGATCTAATTGCAAAAAAAAAAGTTAAAAAATTGAAAAGTTTCCTAAAAAATGGCAACGTCCAAAGGCTCATAGAGTGTTTTGACTTAGCACGATAGTGTGGTCTTGAACTTTTCTGACCATGCTGCTATTTTATTAAGTAAGTTTATTAAGGAATATGTATTAAAAAACAAATTGTAAACAAACAGACTGAAAGTTGAATTTGTAATTGTCCCAGAGAAAAATTTTTTGGTACACTATTTGTTTTACAATAAATTACTATGAGCACATTTTTTTTCTAAAATCAAGAACTGAAAAAAACCCTACCACTTGATCGCAGTATTCCATGAACACTGTTCAAACTTTGCTTCTTTAGAAAACTGAGTACCTAGTAAAAGGTACCTATAGACCAGATATGAATTGAAATACCACATTGTATGTTCTCTCTTCAAATTCTACGAAAAGAGCGATTCAAGTAGCACTGAAAATGGCATTCAAGCCAGGTTGTTGCTTAGGATACATATTTATGAAATTCTCAGATTGGGAAGCTGATAAAGTACTTACTTTTTACTCAGATGTCTAGATACATCTGATTTTTTGAAACCATCTAAAGTGAACAGGCGCTTAGCTAACCGCGAGGCAGAAGGGTGATCGACAGCTTTTGGAGAGTAATGGAAGGATCGTAGCGACTCAATGTCACTCTCGTCCTCGGAGAGTCCATTGCTACTCTGCGAGTTTGGTAAAGGAGGAGAGACTGCTCGAGCAAGGGTGGCTGCCCCTTTTGTAAGGGCCAAAAGTTGCTCATCATCTTCATTTAAGGTCTACATGGAAAAAAAAACAAAATATTTTATTGAATGACACGATAATAATGATAGAAAAAAAGAAAAACAAATTAAGGTGAGCAATAGCAATGTATAGACAGAAAACATTGTGAGACTTCATATTGTCTACCTTGTGTTTTGATTTTTTAAAAAAAAATAAATAAATAAATTAACAGTTTTACGTTATGTTCAATGATATACTGTTGTATGATAGGAAGTATTGCTTTGATAAAATTGATGAATGAGACACTGTACCCTTTCATTAAAGGATCAGGAAGGCTTCAATTAGAATTAGCGAACTGCGCATCCCATTGACTGACTCCCTCTTATGTTTTACCTTTTTAGCTGAAATGTATGCAGCCAAATGCCTCGAAACTTCCTAATAATTTTCCTTTGATCATAAATCACTTTTTCAGTTTCTGCGAATTTGCCTGTCAAACCCTTCAAAAAGTTGCTTGAAAATGACCCCTGAAGGTCAGCCACCACATGAAGTAAGATTGTTAGCAATCAATTTATCATTCAGTAGAGGTGCAACAGCTCAGTCCTCACCTTGCTGCTGAGAGGGAGCAGGTTCCAGGTGCCCGTTTTAAAGGTTACATGCAATGTTTAATATCAATATTTGAAAAAAAACCTTCTTCTCTGGCAATCCCCTACAAGAATAAAATCATATAAAATCATTCTTTACAATGGGGGCTGCTGAAAGAAAAACTCACCAGGTAATTGTCTTAACTTTGTTTTACCAATACTTGTATTACTTGAAAGGAGCCAATTACTTATAATAACTCTACAGAACGTGTCATTCTTGTGAGGAGGGGATATTGGAGAAGAAGTTTTATGGTAATAATAATATTAAAAATCAAATAGGGTCTTAAAATAATGGCCAGGAACTGGCACCTACAATTTCTCAGCCTCAAGGCGAGCTCTGGGTCACTATGCCACCATTGAAGGGTAAGCTGCAGACCGAAGATCATTCTTAATAAAACAAATGATCATCGGGAAGCATTTTCAGACAACATTTTGGGAAGTTTCAAGGGCCCACCAGCAAAAACTGCAAAGCACCTGTCCATCAGCTTCCTTTGAGCTGTTCATTACTTAAAACCGCATCAAAATTAGAGGTGGCCACTTTTGAGCCTTCAATAGTGACATAAATCTAACAGGTAAGTTCAATGCGAAATTTAAATAAACATTTTGAGTGCTGAAAAACTCATTTACATTTAAGATGACAAGCATTAAAAATAGATAAAAAAAAAAAAAAAAAAAAAAAAAAAAAAAAAAACTATGACACAAATTCCACCAAAACTATTTTTTAGCAACAAAGCCATAAAAACATACTCCACACCACTCAGGGATAAATGCCAGTATGTATGGCAGCATTTAACATTTAAAATCAAAATTACATATTGTGATTGAATGACGGAAATATACAGCATATGTTCTTTCAACAGATAATCCAATAAAAAATAAATAAATAAATAAACAAGACGTTTTTAGACAATAATGTACATCAATGTTACTGATATGTAATATATATTAGAGTACGGCTGATTTCACTCATTCTGTACAACATCGAGGAGACACTACGAAACATGAAGCTGCATGGATATTTTTAATTACATTTGCTGGGGCCATGTTTTTGATGGATCAAAAAACTTTTTTTTTTTTTTTGTAAGAAACTGTTAATTCACTTTAAACTGAAAATTCACCCTTTTCTGCTAGATAAACGGCGGAGTACATACCATGTAAGATGGTTGTTCTCCACTACTAGAGTAATCTTGTTCCTTGTGGCTCCCCCTCCGTGAATTGTTTCGGAAATTAACTTTTGGACTACATCGTCCTTTCACCTAGATAAAAGAAATAGATAAACATTCACTCGGTCAGCAACTGGAATTATCTCACAGAGGAGCTGTAAAATTAAAGTCAAATGTCCCATTCTATTTCTTTTACTGTGAGCAGTTTCAAAATTAATTGATGTGTCGGGTACCTTTGTTGAGGAGGAGTTTGGACGAGAATCTGCTTGCACAGAAAGGATCACACATATAACTACCACCCAAGATAATCTCTAATTCTGACTACAGTAAAAAAATCATACCAATGCACAAAAAAACAACAAGTCTAGAGTGTTACATACATGTAGATTTGACAACACACAAGAGAGATAAAATGAAATGTAACTTAAATTCAATTTATGGTTGCATGTTAACGACTGGTATCAGGTTGCCACTCAATATTTTATTGATTTCCATGGTTTTTTACGGCTGAAAATGAGCCTGTGACGGCTCTTCTGCCTATTTTACAATAAGAGACTACCATTTCTGGTTCATCTTTGAAAACTCTTATCTGCATACGGAAGCAAATGGCACACATGTTGTTTTTTTATCAGCCAGAGGTACTGGATCCTTGGTGTAAAGTGCAATGCAATTATCGAATTTCGAGTGTTCAACACGGCAGATTAAAGCTTCAAAGAGTCTTTTTCGAAACCTTTGTGCTTTTCAATTGCAAACTTTAAACCGTCAAAAGTGCAAGCAGTCTAACCAATAGCTTGATGTTGAGTTTTTCAGCGTTTACAATAAGCTCCCTTCTCCTGCAGACAGTCTGATGATCATAAAAATAGAGCATGCAATTCATTTGAACTCAGCACAACCTGCTACATAGCTGCCAAAGTAGTTTTTATTCGTATTTGTTAGCGATATTTGACCACACATTATCACAACAAACATTAAAACGTTTTTACACCCTGGAAAAAATTGAATAATAAAAGAAAAAAAATCTCACTCACCTGTATCACTATTCGATGATCACCAGAGTCGCCATGGGCATTCTCATTTCTTTGCAACCTACAACTGCCTCCTTTGGTCGATTCACTGACCAAGAGTGTAGAGTCGCTATCACTAGGGTCTGAGATTTCAATGTTGAAGTCTTTTGAATTGAGGATTTCCGAGTCCTCCTGGAAGTCCGGACTGGAGATGTTGGAGATTGCTTCCGACTGACTGAGGTCACCACCGTTATTGACTAAACTACTGCTAATATTTTGATTAGTGCTGCCAATATTGGCATTTGATTGAGCTTGGAGCGTTTTCTTCCGCTCGTGAGAAGAGGATGAGGATGAGGTTGAAGACATGACTGAAGAGGATACGCTTGTTGGCGATGCTGGTGATGATAGTGAGTGATTCTGCGATGAGGCATTATTATCAGATGAGTTATTTGAGACTGAACTGGAGCTATTTTTCATTTTTGTGCCTGATTCTGTTGTGTGATATGACCATACCTATGAAAAGAGGAGACGAAAAAATCTTAGACAACATAGCTTTTTTTTTCAGCACTGGGAAGTAAATAGATGTGGGTTGATTAGGACCCAGAGGCTGGAAGCAACTTTTAGAAGACACAACTTTTTCCTCAGAGTGCTATAAACCCTTGATCACTCACATTACACTGCTGCAGTTGAAAAAATTGTAACAGCAGCAGCAGTCATGATAATGAATATTTTTTTTTAATTAGAGAGAAATGTTGGAACGCACACTCTAGAGAGAGGAAATATCAAGTTAGGGTGTATTTTTAATTTTTTGCAAAGATAGGAATATATCCTAAATTGTAGCAGCAAGGATTCTATTTGTTACTAAATTGTAGCAGCCAATAGCCTTCTGTCTGCTTTTTTCTTCCTAATTCCTCAAAAAACTATAGAAAGAGATTTCAACTAAAAAAATTGAGAGTGCTGATTCATTAAATAGAATTGACAGTTATTTCAGGGTACCTGATTTTATTTTAATGAAAGTAGTTATTTTTCAAGTTTAACAACTCGTTTACTAATAATAATAAAAAATAGTCATAGTCTGTTACAGCTGAAGTAAGCAGATACAATCCAGTAAATTCATGACAACTACCTAACATGACAGGCTGCAGTTGATATTGAGCAGATTATGACATACCTGGAGAATTTTGTGTGCAATTCTTAATTATCATTTCTTTCCAGTCTTAAATTAATTTTGCTGACTTAAACTCTTTAGCAGAGTTATTTTACCAAGGAAAATGCAAGGGAATGAATTCAATTGGCAATAATCTTTAAATTTAAGAACAAGAAGTTTACCCTCTGATCAGCTTCGCCCTCAGAGTCTGGTCTCGTGTCTAACAGAGTATTTAATGAAGAGGTAACATCATCATCAAAGTCAATTGATACTGTAGATAAACTATTTGAATTTTTGTTCAACTGCAAATGGTCTTCAGACTTGGAGGTCCTGACTACATACGATGAGGAGGCAGCGTCTGAGGAGCTACAGACGGGAGCAGCTGTATTGGATGTGCCGATTGAGCTAGGAGGAGAATTACCTGCTGATGACGAAATAACCTAGACAAAGTAAACAAGTGGATCATTAAATAAATAGAGTTCACAGATGTACATGCTCAAACAGACCAATTTCAACAACACACTTTTTCCACATCATATTTTACAATATTTTCAGAATATCAAAGAATTAATATTAGGTTTATTCAGACTTAGAATTCAAGAGGTACCTTGGAAATTCAAGGTTATGGACTTGGATTTTAAAATAATCTCATTAATTCGGAAGGGTACTCGATTTTACAGTCATAAAAATATAAATACAATGTGACATACTTCCAAGTACATGCAAGTGCAGGTACATTACATCGTTTTTACACAAACATTTTTCTTGGGTCATTGTATTTTAGGGTTTTTCGATCATTCCAATTTTATTGATTTCAGCTGAACCAAAAAGTAAAAAAATTAAAAACTCTCGACTCTTGACTTTAATTTTTTTCCCCAACGTTTCTGAGCATGAAATTCCTTCACGTTTTTTTGACTTCGTTGAGCATAAAAATGTTTTTCACACACAATTTTAATACGAATTAGTTCCTCCTGACTGGAACCTGGGAACAGAAATTGCTTCTTAGGACCACATGCATGTTCAAAAGGTTGATACAAAGAGACGATCAGGGAGAGAACATGAAGGTACTTTACTGATTGGTTGGAGGGAAAAATCTCAAGGTTCAACATACAAATTTTCTGACTTTGATTAAAATAAAATTTAAAAACTCACTAGTCAGAGAAAATTCGAAACGCGCGTCGGATTGTTTTGAATTTTTTCTGACTAGTGAGTTTTTAAATTTTATTTTAACCTTTGACCTTTTAACCATTTGGTCTGGTACTTTTAAAATATTTGATCATTTCTGACTTTGGCCCAACTTTTCAAGAATTTATCCCTCTGTCTTGAAATATCTCAATGAAACAAGTAGGTCTTACCTCTTGGTGATTTTGTTTTTTACTGTGATGATGATTGTTCCGAGACTTATCAGACATATCTATGGGACTGGTCGGAACTGAGTGGTAATTACTATAGTTATTATTGTTGTTGTGGTGATGCTTGAGCAAAGAGTCAATTTTCCTTGAATGTTTGGGCAAGAGTGAGACTTGCTGGTTCCGTGTGAGTTTCAAGACACGGTCGCCCGTCATCATAAATGCTTCGAATCTTGGCTGTTGGTGACTGTTTTTGATTGGCTCATTCTCCAGGTCTACAATGGCTTGTGACCTAGTAACCTCGTTGACAGGCAAAGGATGCTGTGATGGAGGAGGCACTGGTGAGTCATTGGGGCTAATGTGATTTTTAAACTTGTCGTCGACCTTTTTCGCAGGTTGACTCGAGTTGACCGATGATTTTTTTTCACAGGGAGTTCCATTGTCCACTATTCGATCTACATGCGACTCTGGAGAGGAGAGGTAACTCCTTACTTTTGCTTTGATATTTGGATCTGGAAAAAAAAAAAAAATTCACTCCTATTAGCATTGTGCAAAAATAATTTTTAGATAATCATCGTATTATCTAATGTTACCATGTAAAATTAATGCAATTTGTTTAGTCTTAGTTTTAAACCATGTAGATACATACAAGGAAATACTTGTAGTAGTTACGTTATATTTGAATAAAATTCCTTTAAGAAAAAAAAAAAAAAAATTAGGTTGAATGGTGAGAAGAAAAAGAGAAGAACATCACGATAAAAATTTGATAAGTTTTACAGCTTAGCAATATTGAAAGAATCAAAGCCTTATTTTTTTCCATATTTGAATTACCTAACATTACAAAGGCTAAGTTTAGAACCAATAACAAGCTGCCTTTTCCTCAGACCAATAACAAGCTGCCTTTTCCTCAGGAACAGATGGAAAAAGGAAGATTGATCTTACAATAAGTTTATGATATAGATTCCATACCAATTGTGGAATTTTCCATTTCAATCCTTTATGAAATTACAGCAGTAATGTTCTGAATTTGCAATTGGAAAGGAGGGGAAGTGAAGGAGAAGGAGTGAAGAAACAGATGATACATTTCTTTGGAGGCTGCTTTTACGGTATTGATTATTTACATTTTATTCCTCCAGGAGGGGATGTAATGGGCCAATAGACAAGGTCTAAACTAGAAGGAAAAGGCACATGTTTTCTTTTCAAAATCTTCAGTAGAAAACGATTTATACGATAGGAAGTTTGATAATAAAAACCTGAACGAGATACTAACAAGAAGTTTAACCAAATCAAATGGAAGTTGGATTATAAAAATGACGTTATTTGTATTTTTGCCACAAAACCAATTTTGATTGGAAGCACATGTATCTTGTTCAAGCTTTTATCTCCAGACTTTCTGTTGTGTAAATCGTTTTCTGCTTATGATTTTGAAGCGAAAATATGTTGTTTAGTGCTCCAGTTCATACCTTGTCTACGAGTTTATAGTATATGCCAGTTGCTTTTGCATCCTTCATGGGGGGGGGGGGGGGATGCATAGAATGATAATTTTAAATGATTTTTTTTTTTTTGCAGCGACACAGTTAGTTAGAACTACAAAACTTGCACAATTGCAAACCCTTGAGGGTAACAATTAAAAGGCTGTCACTTTGAAATGGAAAAATGGGAGCTTCAGGTAAACACCAAGAAGGACTTGATTATTAAACTGTAACGCTGCAAAGTTTTACCTGACCAATTATTCGTTTAAACATTACAAATAAATGTTTTACTTCGAGAAATCCATGAAATATTCATCAAATTACGAAGGAAATTCACGACAAAATTTAAGAAGCACACTCGCAACTATTACAGAAGAAAACTTATTTTTTTGGTCACCAATGATATATTGTTATTTACGAGTGCCGTGTAAGCACCACAAAAACAAGACAGTGAACAAATTATTCCATAAAAAAATTATTTGATGTAGATTTTATTAAGTTGGAATGAATTCACAATACTGATTAATAAGCCACAGTACCTCTTTTGAGTTTCAGGACAACAGGATTCTCCGACAATCGCAGGCATTTTAAAACTGTAACAGACAAGACAGAAATAGAATTAGAGATAGATTTACACAGAAAAATTCCCAACAATTATTAATGAAAATGCGTTATGAGAGTCTGCATTAGTTTGAGTTATATTTTGACGCAAACGCACTTACATCTCGGACTGAATCAAATACCTTTTAAAGTCATACACATGCGGAGAAAACTGCTCAGAAAATTACGGTGAAATTTTTTTGCAGAGTCGCAGCTAACGATAAGCTCGTATCAACATACTTCCGTACACACGCTACGCGGCTCAGTCCCAGCAAATACTACTAAAAATCAGCGGTTTCCTCCATAAAAATAGAGAAAAATTGTTTACGGACGTTCTACTCAGAGAGTAAAAAAAAAATTCTCTTTGATGTGAACACTATTTTTTCAAGGAAAAAGATTTTTAGAACAGGTTTAAACGAAAAAGTGCAGATTTTAACACACTATCAGACAACTGCGGTACGCGGTATCTCATCAAGATTACCAGATTGTACAGTAAAATGTGGATATTTTACAAGGGTTAAAATGGAGAAATGTGCTGATTTTTAGCACTATCTAGCAATAATGTATCTCAAATGTTACTCATACGTGCGAGAGCAAAGGTTAGGGTTCGACTTGACTTCTAGTATACGTAGATAACAATCTACTTTCCGATTAATTGATGAAATTAGCTGAGAAAAAACACATTTTTCAACTTATTTCGGATACGTCACATGTGTTGTTGATTTTCCTATTAAGATTGATGCTCTTGTAAGGGCGTTCCTTTCCGATGAGCCCTATCATCAATTTTCATTGGTTAATTTTGTTAGTCTTAAGGTGCTGTTCCAACTCGAAGGGATCGCATTTGGGCTAGTGCGCACTGGAATACACCGCACAGTAAACCGGGTCAATAGGAGAGGTCGGACAAAATTTGGAAACTTTAAACGCTCATAACTCCGTTTATACAAAGCTTGGAGGCTCAAGAAGTGGTTCCAATGGTTTTTTCGTGAAGTTTTCCTCAAGAAGCACCCATTGAAATTTAAAATGTGACGAAATAAACATCAAAATTTTCAGGTTTAGTCAAATATATTTCAAGTCCGACCTCTGTAGTTGACCCGATCCACTGTGAGTCAGTTGTAAATGATGACCGAATTCGTAGATTAAAAATGATTACTGGTGCCCAACACTGCTGTTAGCACATATGTTTAGTACAAAACAATTTTTTGGGGCATTTCATTAAAAAAAAAAAAAAAAAAAAAAAAAAAAAAAAAAAAACTGAGCAAACGGTGAAGTTTGTGATCTGGAATATGTCTAAATCGACGGCTTCATTTTTTTCTATGAGCTGTAGACGATGAAACAACGCTACGCTATTCACGTGAAGTTGAGACGTGTTCAATTTTCGAAACTTCACACTCACCGGAAAACAGGAAAATATTGACTACATTTGATATGAGGACTTGTGAAAGCGCTTACAAAAGATTCGGCGATGGGCAGCGCTTGCACAATGCCCTCGCGGTAGCTTTATAGCTGTGGAGAGAATGTTATTTAACATTTCCTAGAGGAATGATCTAAGTTTACCTATTCATTCAATATTGAAATCAATTCACTTAAAAACTCACTTAAAAAAAGAGTAATTCATTTATTAATAAATAAAATAAAATCAAGGTATAAGATGTTTGGGAGAAACAAACGCACCGTTGAAAAGATCGGAGTGAGATCCGGAATGCATTTCACGCCGAATTTTCGGGAATTTGGAATTCAGTTGGTTCAGCGTGTTCTTTCTGAAAATTTTATGAAAAATCATACCCGGTAAGACTTGGGTTCTTACCCTGTCAAGTGCCCTATTCAAGTTGATTTAAAAGCGATTCTTCAGCGGGGAATATCCAATATAGAAATTCAATACAATATATAAAATTCCCTGGCACATTCTGGTGAAGGTCCCTCAAAATTGAGGATATGTCAGATGTCTAAAAAGACATGATTTGAAATAATTTCCAAAGAAAATTTGTTGTTCGAAACGTCAAACCTATTCTAGTGAGGGAATAAAGGAGGCTTGAAAATTTTCCCCAGACATTTCCGTCATTTTCCAGGGGGTTTACTACAGCAGGCTGACCAAAAATCAGTACTTTTACAGTATATCCCAAAAAATTCAGTACCTCCTCAACAGAAATTTCAGAACTTTTTCAGTGCCTCCATTTGACGAAATTCGAAAAATTTCAAAAATTTGAATTTCTCGCTCTAATCGCGACAAAAATGCCAAAAAAATTAAACAAAATTCCGGGCTCCATGCGAAATTTCCGCACTTTTTCAGTAGCTCCGGACCACCCTTGAAAAATCGGTACTATTTCCGGACTTGTAGACACCCAGTTTTCCTTTACATTTTTATCATTTTTCCTAACATTTCCAGGTTTTCCTTGACTTTTTAAATTTCCCTGACATTTTCCGGTTTTCCCGGTATTCCCTGACTGTGGCAACCCTGTACTATTTCTTACTGTGTGGCCTCTTGGAGAAGTAACTTGCTTACTTGAAAGGAGTCCAACGATGAGGAGCAAGGAAACCAACAACAAATTCGGGAACTCGTAGAAAGCGTAAGGAATAGGAGGGCTCGGAGGCAGCTGACGCCCTGAATCCATCCTGCACCAGAACGCAATGACCGGCCATGATTCACTCGAGCACGCGATTAAGCTGACTGACCGATCAGTGAAACAAACTTATCGCCAACTTTTCTCCCTTTTTTTATCAGTGCCGTGGCGTGCTTTGCGATAAATCGATTGATCTCCCATTTAAACCTATGGAAAAGGATCGATAAGCAGGGTGTTCGCACCGAACACCTTAATAATCGATTCTTTACCATAGCTCCAAATGGGGAGATATCGATAGTCGATTATTCACGCTTCGTCTCTGTTTTATTCGCGGCCCCTCTAGACAATCAAAGCTAGAGCGACGCGGCGGTATACAAAACGAGTTGACGCAATATACTTGAGAAGAGCGGGGCGGGTCGATTGGGCAGCATTTTGCAGTTAGGAACTATTAAAACTTTAAAATATTTATAAAAAAACTCACGCTTTCACAAAGAGAATACATCGATTATATGCGATATACATATGCGATACATCGATCAACATCGCTCAATAACGATTCAACGATCGATTGAGAAAATGAACTTATTGTTAGAATGCGCCCAATGCTAGCAGGTTGTCTACCAAAACAGGTTAAAAATCAGTGCTTTTACAGTACTTTTTCAGTACATTCCCAAGAAATTCAGTACCTCATCAACATAAAAATGCAATACTTTTTCAGTACCTCTAATTGACGAAATTCGAAAAATTTCAAAAATTAAAGTTTCACTCTCAAATTGCGACAAAAACGAGAACAAAATGAAAAAAATTCCGGACCTTCTAATGGAATTTCCGCACTTTTCCAGTGCTTCCAGACCGCTCTTAAAAAATCAGTACTATTTCCTGACTTTCCGGAAATTCCGAACTTGTAGACACCCTGTCTAGCCTCAAATTTTGATGACGCAAAGCGCTTCTTGGGGGTTGGGTTACGTGGCGTTCGAAGGGTGGCGGGTTATTGATTAAAGCTTGAACTTGAGTCCGAAAATGTAGCCTGTCGCCTCACGCTTGACTGGGACTTGGAGTTCGCCCACGCGGACCCCTTCGATGATCTCAACCTACATCTGGTCAGTTTCGAGATGTTTGAAATAAAAATAAAGAGCTTATAAAAGTAAAGTTGAACTTTCGATCATGATTAACTCAATGACTCCAGAAATAATATTATGATCGCAAGAAGGCACACAGCATCTCTCAGATTAGAAACAAAGATGTTGACGTTACGTCACAGAAATCGGTGCTTCTTTCCGTAGAGCGAATTTGTCTCACAATCAGTGCAGAAGGAGTATTAAGACAAAGTTTTCCCTTTACAAAAAAAAGTAGAATATTTTATCTGAAAAAAAGAGGAGAGGATAAGAAACAATTTGGAAGCGATTACATATTTACTAAAGACTTCCATGAGTTGATCTCGGTCCGCAACTTTTTTTTGGGTACTCATCATCAAGTTAAGTTACTCATGGTAACTGTGTTTAGCACTTTCACTGCTCTCTCTTTCTTCCTATATGATCTGTACCCCCTCCTTTTCTCCCTTCCTTCCTTTCCGCTTCTTGAAGTGACTGTGCAAAAAACGAATATAAGTGCATAACTTATTTAATATTAAAAGAAAATAGCCAAAGATCTTTAAGATCTATTTATGTCATGTATTGATATTATAAATAAATACTTTCAAAAATCATCAAGGAAAAAAATTTCAAACCCACGAATGAATGAACAAGATTCTTTTAATACTACGATTTACAACTCACATAGAAAAAATCTGAGAATACGGCAAAAGAACGCGAAACAAGATGTTTAAGCCGGCACTTCGTAAACGCGACGAAACGACGGTAATGTCGATCGGTTAAAATTTCCTTCAAATAACGATATAGGCAATAAATCGGCGTTGATGCGCGTTTAGATGCATCGCGTTTTAGAGGTACGTCGGCGCGACAAGGTAAGAGGCGCAATTGAATGCTTTCGATCTGCCTACGCAGGTAATTAATGCATTTATTATATCAGAATATAAGAAAAACAATATTCTGTTATGATTAGAAATAATATAATTTAGTCTGGACCATTTATTTGTCTGCATACGTACGAGGGGAAAAAATGAAACAACGGTAGCAAAGCACGCCAAGTTTATGCTTGCATCCATCGATGATTCTTGAAAAGCTGGGGGTTGATGCTTTCTGACGCAAAAGGATTCATAGCGCGCCGATATTTTCCACGAATCGCATGAGATTTTCGTCTGCATCGATACCCGGGAAAACGGAGAAGGGTAATTTCTAAAAATACCGACGGTCGAACTGCCATGCGCCGAACGCCTGATTCTCGGAACACCTGGCAATCTTCGAGGACCGTTTGCTTTCGATTTTAATGTCAAAGTTGCGAGTAATAAAACAACAATGGACCACTAGACGAGGTAC